TGACTACGGTATGGAATCTAAATCTCTTCTGATCCATTGCGATAATGAGAGTGCCATTAACATTGCTAATAACCCGGTGCAACACTCACGAACGAAACATATAGATATCAGGCATCATTTCATACGTGAGTTAGTTGAGGAGAAACTGATCGCAATTGCACATGTGAGTACTGAATACCAATTAGCGGACTTATTCACTAAACCCTTGGACTTCAACAGATTTATTAATCTAAGAAAGTCCATTGGTGTATGTGAGAACTAATGATGTGTGTGAGTGTCTGTGATTCTGGACAGGAGTGCATACAGGGACGGACTCAGAAGTGACATAAAAACGATTTCATAAATAATTCTCTGTATATATAGTGTCCAATGGAAGAAGGCTGCCTGGGGTGCCGTCGCGTGTGTGGATGAGTACAAGTGCACTTGTGCGTGAGCTGACATACGAACTGGAGAGTGTGTGAATCCTCAGTTGATCGATAAACCAAAGCTTTCAAAAAAAAAAAAAAAAGGGGAAGTATGTAATTCTGCTGATCGATCACTGATAAGGGACAAGAGCACGTCGAATCTTCTCATCTTATGTTGAACCTGAGACATCAATCAATGATGGTAAAATACATATGAAGATCAACTCTCTGAAAAAGGTTTTGAGTTGTCAGCTCATCATATGCCGGGGTTGAAAACTCAGAAACTATGCGACAAAGGCACCCTCGTGTGAAAGATCAGCCACTGGATCCAGAGGATAATATTTTGTCTACTTGAGTCTGTCTCTGCGTTGTATTCTGAATCATCAGAAGGATGTCCAACTCTAATCACACCATCAAAGGTATGGTCAATTCAAAATTCGGTGTGTTAATTCGATTAAGGATTCCTCACAGCTTGTGTTGATTATGCATTAATTAAATTGTCTTCAAGTGTGGGTTTCAGTCAGCACTTTTATTATCTGATGGGTCAGTTGAGCAGATCACCGATGAAATCATGTCGTCATTCATCTAATGGGCTGTGTTGAGTGTTGTTGCTGTGTCTAGGTTCAAAGCCCATTCGAATTATGGCCCAGTTGGATGTATCTCTTGGAGGGAAAATGCTATTTAGGTCTGGTTCGGGGAGCGCCAAACGTCACTTCACCATTCAATCGTCTCTCTCAAACTGTTCATCTTCTCACCCCTCCGCCAATCGCGACGATGAAAGCTTTGTTCTCCGGCTTGTCTCGCCTTGTTGGTACCCCCACTCCGCAACCCGTTTCGCCAGAGCACTCACTTCCTCGGCTTGGTGAAGGAACGATGGAACATGCAAATCTTGATGCTTTGGCTATTGTGCCATATGTCGGTCTCGCTTCGGGTGTCCACAAAACTACTCCGCCGCTTGTTCCGACAGCGCATGGGCCCCCTCGGTGGCCGGATCCACAATTTTAGCACCCACATCACCAGTCAGGAGCAGATCCTCCTCGGTTGAGTTTGTGTATGCCTCGGCCAAACCACCCTCCTCCTCCTCTGCTCGGGGAATTCGTAGGAGCAAGCATCATGTCAAAATCGAAGCAGATCCGTCCGAGCCAGCAAAAAAGAAGAACCGCCCGTCCAAGTCGAAGGCGTCCCTGATGCCTAACTTTGATGTTGGTCGCTTCATCTCCCAACGTGTCACTGATCGATTCGATCTGTTTCTCAACCGCAACTTCTTGGCTGAACGAGAAGTGGATCTTAAGTCGCTCCCTGCTGGTGTGGAGGATAACATCCATGCAGTTGGCCTCATTTCCACCGTAACCGGTATCGTCCGCTTTCCACCGACGGTTATTAGGGAGTTTTGGGCACATCTCCCTGATGAGAAGGTCAATTCTGATGAAATTCGCTTGGTGATTCGAGGTCATGAGTATGTGTTCTCCCCACGCATCATCAATCGGTTATTTGGACTTGACGAAATGGCTTCGGCGAGTGCTGCGCTTGAGGCTGAACTGCTGTCTGATGATCAACTTGCTCTCTTTATGAGTGGTGGTAGGCACGGTGTCTGGGAGACTCTGACTCTGGCTCATTATCAGAGTGACAAGTGGGTTTTGTTCAAAATCAGCTGTCACAACTGGCTTCCCACCTTCAACACAGGGTTCTCCAACAAGGCCCGTGCTCGGATGGTCCATCGAGTGGCGACCAAGACTCCGTTCAACTTTGGCTCCATGGTGTTCGATCACATTCTCAGTCTCGGTCGGAATCCTGGTTCTAAGTTTCTCCTACCGTATCCAAGTCTGATCTACAAGCTTCTACAGCAGCAATGCCCAATACCTCTTAAACCAGCCAATCGCATGGAAGTCATTCAGCCATTCCGCATTGCAGCTAATCCGACTGTGATCAAGGCGGAACCCAAGCTGGAGGGACGTTCAGCTATAGAAGGTATGGCGCTCTCTTCTGCTGATCGGCGGGTTCTTACTCAGGCTGTTCTGATCATCAAACGCATTCTGCAAGGTAAGTGCTCTCTCTTGACTATGCTCCTTGGTGTTTTCTGTGTGTTTTTGAATTAGTTATGCACTTAAGCAGGGGGAGATGTAGCGGAGGAGATCTCTCCAAATATGGGGGAGCAACTGTGATGGGGGAATTCTTAAGTTTAAGTTTACTTTGATTCAGGCCGTTGCTTCTTTAATCTTAAGACTTTTAAGTGTTTTTGTCAAGAGCATTGGACTTTAAGTCTCTCGTGGTTTTTGAATGTGGGCCTGTACTCTTAAACTTTAAAGTTTCCATAAGTATTCTAGCGCATTTTGCTTCTCTGCTGTTTTGGCTTTGGTCTTGTGTTTGGTTGCCCATTTGACTTTGCAGGTGAATTGATGTAAGTGCTGAAGTGACAAACCAAGTCAAAAAGGGAGAGATTGAAGATGTATGTGACATCAGGAAGCAGCTCAAGAGGGATTGCAGGATGCTTGTAGCTGAGGATGCTTGTAACTGACGTGGAACTCATCTATTGATAACTACGAAGGAAGTCTCGAATATATCCTAAATATATTCGAGAATCTAGAAAAAGGAAAAACTTGTAAAGAAAGGATATGCAACTAGATTCTAGGGTTTTAATCTTGGGTAGGTTGTATAAATAGGAAGTCGGGTTAAGTGTGGTCTGCACACTTTGCGCCGCAAGCATTAGAATTATCCTTGAGCTTCGATAGCAAAAAGAAGTTAGAAGGTTAGTGTCCTCTTCCCTGATACACGAGCTGTGTGATCGTGTGAAGAGTGGTTTTAGAACTAGGAATCTTTGGGGGCAATCTAGAGTAGAGTTGCATAATTCCAAACAATTGTAATCAGTTGATTAAGTTATTGATTCTAGTTTAACAAAACCAGCGTTGGACTTGGTGCTTTCCAAGTATTTGTTTGTTGCCTGTTTTCTATACTTTCATACAGTTTTGTGTATCATGCAGTGGAAGACAAAATGAAATCGATGAAAGAAGAAGCAACAAACCAATTCAGTAACGAAATCTGAAGACATGTTGAATCTCAGTGCACTAACCTGTCTCAATTTCCTGGCAAAGAGAGCCATTTCTCCTGAAGCAAGAGCATTCTGAAGTTCATCACATAACGACGGTGTTGTCCCATCCCCTGAAGCAAGAAACTGAAACCGGCAAGAAAACCAGTTTTAGAACACACCTAAAAGTCAGAACAAGACAAGGAAAGAAATTAAGAAAGGTATCAATGGAACTTGCACTCGAAGTCGCCAATGCTGAAACTTCCTCGAGGCAAGCACTCGAGCTTGGCTTGTGCAAGCGGACTACATTGTGCACTGCCTCCAAGTGAGAAGTAAATAAATCCCTTGAAGCTCGAACCAGAATGGCCTGGACAAGCAAATTTACAACATTATATATTTCAACATTATATAGTCTCACTGATCTAGTTCAACATTATTCCTTGACTTTTGGGGGCTTCCGTAAATGAGAGAGAACTAATAATATATATATATATATATATATATATATATATATTCACACATGTTGGTTGTTTTGGCTGCTTTAGGCATGCCTTGTATCTTGTGCTTGTGACTCTATGCTTAATTAAAGTAGGCGATGCTTGTAACTGCATCTTGTTTTATGGACTGGTGAATTGTAACAGGAGAAGTATATACATATAGTCCTGATTGTAAAGTATGTTTGCTGCTGTTAATGCATCTTCTCTTCCTCTTTATTTTTGATTTATGTACTCTTACAACTTCTCTGTGTTCTCTTGTTGTTTTTGCTGCGCTGCTGAACTTGCTCCTATTGTTGTAGCCACAAGCAGAGTATACCGAGCAAGGGTAAAGCCTCTGTTCACCCCATTTATGTGTAAATGGTCTCTAGGGCCTACTGTTTGAGTGTGGAGAATCTTCTTTCGTCTCTACATGTTAGGAACCTCGTCCTTCCGAGTCTACATGGACACATAAGTTTGGCTTTACAAAAGATGACTGAGCAGAAAGTAAGTGAAGAAAACGTTCTCTTGGGATCGTTATTATGTTATGATTTGCTATGGAATTGTGTTTTGTTAGATTTTTAGTATTCATTCACAAAAGTGGGCACGTCTAAAATAGTTTCTAGAGAATCATGCCTATTTATATATATTTTGGCTTAAGTAGCAAAGATGGTAGCAGACAGTTAAAATAGTGTTTTGCAGAAGGAAGTGCAGCTTACAATCGTTAAAGGGACCTCAATGCTGGAGAAGAGAGAGTTTATTAGAATCAACAGCTCCCATCTGGATCTTTTAAAAAGGTTCGTCTGGATTTTGGTGTTCGGATCTTTCCTCTTTTTTTTTTTTTTTTTTTTTTTTTTTTGTTTCCTTTTTGGGTGCTTTGGTTCTCTTCTGAAAATAGATGATTAGGTCGACAAAAGGTGTCACACAACAGTTCCACCTTTGTAAAGACCAAAGGGGAACAGTACTCATAAGGATTTGTAAGACTAGTGGGGAACTTATATATATGTATTTATGGTTTGAGCATTTTGTCCTCAAAGCCGCCTCAGTTAACATCATTCAAATCACTCTCGTCACAGATTTGCTGTGTTTTGGTCTGGTTGCAGCTAGAGTGATCACAGACAGGGAGACCGGAGATCAAAGGGTTTCTGTTTTGTGACGTATGCAACAACAGAAGATGCAGCAGGAGGAGCGTCGGCGTTTGTTCTCTAGGGTTCAAGCTTAATGTTCGATTTCCAGACCAAAACAGTACAAAAATCTGCAGCTTCCCCTGATGTCGAGCCCGGCGATTGTTCTAAAAAGAGATGCATGCCTCCCTCAAGCTTCCCCATTTCTTCGCGCCTAAGGTCTCTTCTCTCATTCTCCATCTCTTCCCCTTTCCTATCTCTATGTGTTTTGGTCTCCGATTATGCAAGAAAAACATACAAACTTTGGAGTTTTTTTGTTTTGTTTTCATGTCTCAGACTTTTTATGGTGTCTTCCCGGAGGTATGTCTTGGTGTCTCTTGTTCTCCTCATATCTTTCAACATTGTTCCCGTTTGCTACTTAAAATGAATCCACAGGAAGTGCTCAAAAGGCTTGTTCGGTGCAAGTGCTCTGATGAAATTGCATAACCCGGTAAAGGTTTTGCAGAAAGAGCTTCTCCAAGAACTTCCAACACTAGTCAACTCGATGTCAGACTCTGTTCCTTTCTCTCTAGTATAATCTTTTTTTCCTTTCTCTCTCTCAGCTCCTTGAGTCACAGTCTGCAGTTTATATATCATCCTCTTATCCAGATCAGTTTGATATACATGGCAGTTTCTGTTGCTACAGCAATCACGACAACGGATCTTGTAAGCAAGAGCGTGGCAGTTGAATCACATGTAGTCTCAAGAAACTCAGTTGTGCTCTGTTTCTTGCAAAATTTTCATATAAGATTTGACATTTCTCAGGTCGGAGGAACCACAATTCGAGTTGGGGGTGTGGCAAAAGGCTCCGGGATGATCCATCCAAGTATGGCAACCTCCTGAGACTGTGACCATGGCCAAGAGACAGGGTTTCATGTACTGTTGTTGTGTTATGATCTCAATTTGTAAACTTATTTTGCTTCATATTAAAGTTGATTTATCATACTTGATACAAATGCAAATGCACACAAAAACAAAAACAATTGTAATTTGTAGGTAATATAAATAAACTTTTTTAACGTATGTATGCCTTAATTTGTATTGATAAACTAAAAAATGTTGTACAAGTCAAAAGAAAGAAGAGGCATCTGGTGGATGGGTAATTTGTAACAGTATATATATATATTTTTTTTTTTTGTCGTCTTTATAATATTTGAAACCCAACAAGGGTAAAGCAGAGGTTACAAACTTTTCGCAGGCCCGTAAATGAGAGAGAGCTTGGGATAAGTTTCTTTAAAGAGTGAAGAGAGTAAGTAATGTTACTTTACTATGCTGTGAGGAACAACTTACCATGTATCGTGCTGGTCGTTATCACAAGCAGAGTTAACGAGTAAAGACACATCTGCGACTTGCTTGCTGTTGAGAGATTCATGAGTTAAGTTGCAGTGTTTGAAAGCTAACTCCGCATGACCCACACTAACGCATAGAAGGATACAAAAGGGTTAAAAACGCATTACTGAAAGATTGTATGTAACTCAAGAAATTGCAAAAAAACCACTGCAATGATCTTACGATTGCTGAAGCAGCAACTCCATTCGACAGTGTTTTGCAGCCGAGAAATCAGCACCTTCTCTGGCGTCATTCTCAGCTTGCATGGAAACTGTCTCCCACTTTCTCTTTGCGTCATCAGTCAGATTATGTACGACAGAGACGTGTTCATCCGAGAACGTTTCGTTGGAAGAGACGGCATCTTTAAAGCTGTGGAGTCTTGAATCCACCTGCCACGAGAAAAACAATACAGTTTCGTGTATCATGCAGTGGAAGACAAAATGAAATCGATGAAAGAAGAAGCAACGAACCAATTCAGTAATGAAAGACAATCTCAGTGCACTAACCAGTCTCAATTCCCCGGCAAAGAGAGCCATTTCTCCTGAAGCAAGAGCATTCTGAAGTTCATCACATAACGACGGTGTTGTCCCATCCCCGGAAGCAAGAAACTGAAACCGGCAAGAAAACCAGTTTTAGAACACACCAAAAGTCACAACGACAAGGAAAGAAATCAAGAAAGGCATCAATGGAACTTGCACTCGAGGTCGCCAATGCTGAAACTTCCTCGAGGCAAGCACTCGAGTTTGGCTTGTGCAAGCGGACTACATTCTGCACTGCCTCCAAGTGAGAAGTAAATATATCCCTTGAAGCTCGAACCAGAATGGCCTGGACAAGCAAATTTGCAAAATAATGTTACAAAGTTAAGACTCTACTATTACAACATTAACAACTTCTAAATTCAGACAAGAAAATCTTCATTGGTAAATAGAAAACCAAAGAATAAAACAGTTGATACCTTGTTGTGCGCTTCTAAACGAGATTGGGACAGTTTGTTAACACCCTGAAGGTGTGCATTTTGCTGGGACAGACATGAAGCAACCTTACTGAACATATTGGAGAAATGTTCAGAAAAAAGTTCTACTTGATAATTGTCCACCACTTTTCTGTTATCCGCACTGAGCTTGTCCTCTCTCCCTGCAGAGCGCCAAATTGATTTTATAACAACAATTCTTGTGAAACGGAAGCAAGTTAGAGACAAGACAACTTTTCAAGCACTTGGGTTAGAGTAATGTTTTTCGAACATACCAGCTTTTTTCTGCTCTGAAGTAATGAAATCTTTCTCCTTCATGGCATATTGAGATTTCTTCAGTTCCTCGTTGGTGGAAGCAAGCATCTTGCTCGTTTGGCTCAGCTTTTTCTAGGTAGCACAATTGAAGTCTCAGAGAATAGTGATATAGTTATAAAGCACAAATGCAGGAAGTGACCAGTACCTCGGTGACATCAAGCCTGTTAGTCAGATCAGAGCAGTCCCGAGCTTGGCCCGTGTACTTGCCTTGCATCTCCTCAAGTAGCTGGTCAGAAAATTTATGTAACTTCAAAATTCATTTCTGACACTCACGTAAATAACAACAACTGTGTTTTGATCTATTGAGTAAGAATAAACCAACCTTTTGATAATTCTCTGTTTGACCACCCATCTGTTCAATCTGCTCAGCCATTGCCTACAAACAGAGCAAAAGAGGGATCATATTAGTACATGAGTAAGGAGGTTACCATGTCCTTTTAGGTCAGAGGAACAATTGTGGTCAGAAACTCAATACCTTTTTTTGATAGTATCTCTCTTTTGGCATATAAACACAATTTTTCTCACGGGAAGCATAGACCTCTAAAAAGACAAGCCAAGAAAGCACATAAGTAGTAGACAAGCAGAGGAGTCAGAGTAGAAGACGTTGTAGCGAGTAAACTGATTAAGCTGAGTGAAAGTAGAGCCACCCCTCTAATTATTCTATATACGACTACAGTGAGAATGTCTCTTACCCGCCTTAAGTCGTTCTATTTCACCATAAAGGTCCTTTATCAAAGCAGATGTCATCATTTTCTGGTTAAGCTGCCAAAAAAGAAAAGTACAAAGAGTACGAACATGAATTCTGGTTTTTCAATGGAGAAAAGAAACTGATGACTCCGAAAATCTAAAAGACAATACCTCTGGTTTGCTCCTAATATGCTTTGCCCTGTGTGCGTAATCTAGAGCACTTAAGGTCTCCTCGAGACAGTGAACAGCAGGTGAAAGTGTTGCAATGATACATGTCTTTGTTCTCCCACCAAGTGAATCACCTAGCTTACTATCCCTACAATTCAGTCCAAGATGTAATTATAAGATTCAGCATACCTTGATACACTGGTACATGATCACTAACATAAAGCAAAAGACCCCAGAAAAGAGCTCAAACCTGGAAGGAATGTGTCCAAGATTTTCTACCAGAGCACTGATCACTCGCCCTAATGTAAGAAGACTTTTGTTTATTTCACCAGCTCTCTGGAGCAAAGTGAGGATTTCCTGAAGCAGTAACTCCACTCGGTTAGTCAGATCCGCTACAAGCTTCTCCGAGTCAGATTTTGACTGAGCGCATGCCAGTTTAGCACGAAGCTTGAGCATGGTGAAGAATCGCTTGTCATCTCGAAGGTCTGCAAATACCAAAGATTTCACATGACCAAACAAAACTTTGTAAGAAAGGTTAAAGAACATGAACACCGAGTTTGATTACCAAGTTTTGTTCTAACGAAGATAATGGGAACACCGGGAGCATAATGCCTGAGCTCAGCAATCGACTGAGAGAGAGAAGCATAGTCCTGAAAATCCACGGGTTTATCTTAACACAACCACACTAGCTTCACGATCATCACACTAGCTTCAACGAAATGGCCTAAATCGCATTCTAGAGAAAAATTGAAACGGCACATTACCTGGCGAAGAATACAAGCCGTTGTGGTCTGTCCGTTGACGAAGAGAAGAGAAGAAGAAGAGAAGAGAAGAAGAAGAGAAACGAAGAAGAGAAGAGAAGAAGACATGATCGAGAAAAAGAAAAGAAGAGAAGTCGATTAAGACTTTTACTGAGGCGGCACAGTATTTTCCGACGATTCCGGCGGAGACACAGTATTTCCCGGCGATTTCGGCGGAGACACAGTATTTCCCGGCGATTTCGGCGGGAGACACAGACGGCCGAAGAGCACTGAAAAGTTTCTGTAGACCGATGACGGCGAGAATGGTAAGAGAGCTTATCGCCACCGATTTCCAGTCTGCGATCTTCTCCTTCTCAGACTCCTTTTTGTTGAACTCCTTTCCTTCGCTTTCTTCGTGAGCGGCTTCAATATCCACTAAAGGAAACTTCAATGTGAACTTCTGAGACTTCTTACGTGTTGTAGTCCGCTTGCTGAGCTCTAATGGTGGTGGACGCATGGCTTCATCACAGAATCCTGAAACAGATTGTCAAAATCAAACAAAAAAATCGCTCTGTGAGAGTTGTTGGCGGGGACGGAGGGAAAACAAATGAATCCTTTCTTTGATTATTTTTGAAAATTAAATTAAAATGGCAAAACTCAAGAAGAGATTTGGGCTTCTCGGAACCATTGGGCTGTTTCAAATTTAAAAACCTAATTGTTGTTTTTCTTTTTTCTTTTCTTTCCTCTTCTTTTGTCGACAAAAGAGTCCCAGAATAGTTCCATGTTTCTTCACTTCATCTGATTGATAAATTAGTCAACGTTCCTTCCTTTTCCATTGTCTTTATTTTCCTCCAATATTTGTAACAGTAAAGTAAAAATGTAAAAGTGAAAAGATATATTTTTAAAAGCTACTGAATGGTAGATAACTAGATATCCTCGACTGGACGTCTGATCATATAATCGTTTTGTAGAACAAACTTATTGTCTGGGAATGGAGTATCGTTTCTGATTATTTTGCATTAGTCGTATTTGTTACATTTGTTTTATACCATTGAAATCCATTGCATATTCTTTATTGAATTGGCTTGTAACCCCATATTTCAACAATATAATCCAATTACAAAACGATAACAACTATCTCTTCTATAACAACAATTTAAAATTGTACGATTTTTTATGCCTTAGATGCAACATAAATTGAATTTTTATGCTTTAGATGCAACATAAATGCATGATACTATAAAAAAAACGCATAAATTTATATGATATGTAAAATGCAAAAAATTATCAGTCTCGCACATTTTTCTAGTGAAAGCTACAGTAATCCCTTGATTTTGATATTTTCATTTACAAATTAATTACTTTATGGACAGTGATGTAAGTAGGTGTAAGAGTTTATTTGGTCCCTAATACTGCAGGCTTGTTTGAAGTTCCTGTCTATGCCTGAAGGTACATGGTACTGCTCGAGCTCTCTAAAGCTCCAGCAAGCGAAATTGGTGTCTGTGCCTTCTGCAGGTTGTGTCGCATTCCCCTAGTCAACTTTCTCGGCTGTGAAAAATGTGAATACATGTGCAAAACCACTGCGATAGGCACTTTTGATTACTCTTCAGGACCTGATAAACTCTGATCATACAAATACTATGTTTGACATCGGAATATTGATTGATAGGACTGTTATTCTCTGTGAGCAGGTTCCTCTAATCTCTCTTGTGATTATATATCTCAGAGCACCATTTGACCAACATGCCTTTCATGTTAGTGATTAGTTTTAAACTCTCGTCTCATCACTTGCTGCTTTTAGAGCAGTACGGTCGTCCATTGTTAGTGCATTGTCTCAGTGATCTAGTTCAACATTGTTCCTTGAGTTTTGGGGCTTCCGTAAATGAGAGAGAACTAATAATATAATATGCACAAAAACAAAAAACAAAAAGAGAGTAGATGTTGGTTGTGTTTGCTGCTCTAGACATGCCTTGTATCTTGTGCTTGTAACTCTTATGCTTAATTAAAGTAGGTGATGCTTGTAACTGTATCTTGTTGTATGGACTGTTGAACTGTAACAGAGGTTCAATTCTCTAGTCTTTAGTTCGTATCCAGACAACAGTATAGGATGCCTGAGTCGCTAAGATGTCTATTTACTTTTTGGGACACAAGGTGGATTCTGCTCGCTTGTCTGATTCCTGTCCAAGGATCACTAAAATCTGTCAAGCAACCTTTACGGAGAATGGCGATGCAACCAACCTTTTTGAGGTTTTTTTTTACCTGATATGCAGAAAAGACAGAGAAAATGGAATATTTACAGTGAAATGGAGGATACTTAGTGGAAAAAGTCGATACCCAGATACTTGGACCAGCGGCTGTAATCTTCAGGTAGACTTCAGGATGTGTTGCCAGTTATCTTTTGTTAGATGTTTTGATCAATTTTCTCTTTTAAGAACAAACATGCAGCCTAATGCTCGTATGGTCGTAATCTCAATCCTGTCATGCCGTATGGTTAGTTTTATTACGTGATAATCTGATCATGGAGTTGATTCGAACGTAATTCTTATTGCATATCTACAGGAGAAGTATACATAATAGTCCTGATTGTAAAAGTATGTTTGCTGCTGTAATTCATGTTCTCTCCTCTTCATTTTTGATTTATGTACTCTTACAACTTCTCTGAAGTGCGTGTAGTAACTTCTTGTTTCTGCTGCGCTGCTGAGAATTTCTGTCAGCAGGCTGCTGAACTTGCTCCTATTGTTGTAGCCGACAAGCAGAGAGAACCGAGCAAGGTTAAAGTTGTCTCTAAAACACTGTCTCGATATAGAGTTTATATGTAATAAAATCCTTTCGTTTTGCTTTATGTTGTTGGAGGTCATTGAATGAGAGTGACTCACAATAACACTTATATAGTAGATCTTCAACACTTGAATGAACAAGATTTAAAGTTGCTTTAGCTTTAAAATGTTGTTATGGGGTCTTTTACTTACTTAAATAGAAATAGAGAAAAGGGGGCATAAATTTTGAAGTATTGAGGAATTGTACAGGAGAAGTGTACATATGTCCTGATTGTAAAGTATGTTTGCTGCCTTTAATGCACGTTCTCTTCCTCTTTATTTTTGATTTATGTACTCTTACAACTTCTCTGTGTCGTGTTTCTCTTGTTGTTTTTTGCTGCGCTGCTGAGAATTTCTGGTCACAGCTGCTGAACTTGCTCCTATTGTTGTAGCCACAAGCAGAGTATACCGAGCAAGGGTAAAGCCTCTGTTCACCCCATTTATGTGTAAATGGTCTCTAGGGCCTACTGTTTGAGTGTGGAGAATCTTCTTTCGTCTCTACATGTTAGGAACCTCGTCCTTCCGAGTCTACATGGACACATAAGTTTGGCTTTACAAAAGATGACTGAGCAGAAAGTAAGTGAAGAAAACGTTCTCTTGGGATCGTTATTATGTTATGATTTGCTATGGAATTGTGTTTTGTTAGATTTTTAGTATTCATTCACAAAAGTGGGCACGTCTAAAATAGTTTCTAGAGAATCATGCCTATTTATATATATTTTGGCTTAAGTAGCAAAGATGGTAGCAGACAGTTAAAATAGTGTTTTGCAGAAGGAAGTGCAGCTTACAATCGTTAAAGGGACCTCAATGCTGGAGAAGAGAGAGTTTATTAGAATCAACAGCTCCCATCTGGATCTTTAAAAAGGTTCGTCTGGATTTTGGTGTTCGATCTTTCCTCTCTTTTTTTTTTTTTTTTTTTTTTTTGTTTCCTTTTTGGGTGCTTTGGTTCTCTTCTGAAAATAGATGATTAGGTCGACAAAAGGTGTCACACAACAGTTCCACCTTTGTAAAGACCAAAGGGAACAGTACTCATAAGGATTTGTAAGACTAGTGGGGAACTTATATATATGTATTTATGGTTTGAGCATTTTGTCCTCAAAGCCGCCTCAGTTAACATCATTCAAATCACTCTCGTCACAGATTTGCTGTGTTTTGGTCTGGTTGCAGCTAGAGTGATCACAGACAGGGAGACCGGAGATCAAAGGGTTTCTGTTTTGTGACGTATGCAACAACAGAAGATGCAGCAGGAGGAGCGTCGGCGTTTGTTCTCTAGGGTTCAAGCTTAATGTTCGATTTCCAGACCAAAACAGTACAAAAATCTGCAGCTTCCCCTGATGTCGAGCCCGGCGATTGTTCTAAAAAGAGATGCATGCCTCCCTCAAGCTTCCCCATTTCTTCGCGCCTAAGGTCTCTTCTCTCATTCTCCATCTCTTCCCCTTTCCTATCTCTATGTGTTTTGGTCTCCGATTATGCAAGAAAAACATACAAACTTTGGAGTTTTTTTGTTTTGTTTTCATGTCTCAGACTTTTTATGGTGTCTTCCCGGAGGTATGTCTTGGTGTCTCTTGTTCTCCTCATATCTTTCAACATTGTTCCCGTTTGCTACTTAAAATGAATCCACAGGAAGTGCTCAAAAGGCTTGTTCGGTGCAAGTGCTCTGATGAAATTGCATAACCCGGTAAAGGTTTTGCAGAAAGAGCTTCTCCAAGAACTTCCAACACTAGTCAACTCGATGTCAGACTCTGTTCCTTTCTCTCTAGTATAATCTTTTTTTCCTTTCTCTCTCTCAGCTCCTTGAGTCACAGTCTGCAGTTTATATATCATCCTCTTATCCAGATCAGTTTGATATACATGGGGTTTCTGTTGCTACAGCAATCACGACAACGGATCTTGTAAGCAAGAGCGTGGCAGTTGAATCACATGTAGTCTCAAGAAACCAGTCGTGCTCTGTTTCTTGCAATAATTTTCAGATCAGATTTGACATTTCTCATGTCGGAGGAACCACAATTCGAGTTGGGGGTGTGGCAAAAGGCTCCGGGATGATCCATACAAGTATGGCACAACCTCCTGAGACTGTGGACCATGGCAAGAGACAGTGTTTCATGTACGTTGTTGTGTTATGATCTCAATGTGTAAACTTATTTTTATTCATATTAAAGTTGATTTCTCATACTTGATACAAATGCAAAATGCACACAAAAACATAAAACAATTGTAATTTGTAGGTAAATATAAATAAACTTTTTTAACGTATGTATGCCTTAAGTTGTCTTGATAAAAACTAAAAAAATGTTGTAACAGTCAAAAGAAAGAAGAGGCATCTGGTGGATGGGTAATTTGTAACAGTATATATATATATATTTTTTTTTGTCGTCTTTATAATATTTGGAAAACCACACAAGGGGTAAAGCAGAGGTTACAAACTTTTCGCAGGCCCGTAAATGAGAGAGAGCTTGGGATAAGTTCTTTAAAGAGTGAAGAGAGTAAGTAATGTTACTTTACTATGCTGTGAGGAACAACTTACCATGTATCGTGCTGGTCGTTATCACAAGCAGAGTTAACGGAGTAAAGACACATCTGCGACTTGCTTGCTGTTGAGAGATTCATGAGTTAAGTTGCAGTGTTTGAAAAGCTAACTCCGCATGACCCACACTAACGCATAGAAGGATACAAAAGGTTTAAAAACGCATTACTGAAAGATTGTATGTAACTCAAGAAATTGCAAAAAAACCACTGCAATGATCTTACGATTGCTGAAGCAGCAACTCCATTCGACAGTGTTTTGCAGCCGAGAAATCAGCACCTTCTCTGGCGTCATTCTCAGCTTGCATGGGAAACTGTCTCCCACTTTCTCTTTGCGTCATCAGTCAGATTATGTACGACAGAGACGTGTTCATCCGAGAACGTTTCGTTGGAAGAGACGGCATCTTTTAAAGCTGTGGAGTCTTGAATCACACCTGCCACGAGAAAAAACAATACAGTTTCGTGTATCATGCAGTGGAAGACAAAATGAAATCGATGAAAGAAGAAGCAACGAAACAATTCAGTAATGAAAGACAATCTCAGTGCCACTAACCAGTCTCAATTCCCCGGCAAAGAGAGCCATTTCTCCTGAAGCAAGAGGGCATTCTGAAGTTCATCACATAACGACGGTGTGCTGTGTCCATCCCCGGAAGCAAGAACTGAAAACCGGCAAGAAAAACCAGTTTTAGAACACACCAAAAGTCACAACGACAAGAAAGAAATCAAGAAAGGCATCAATGGAACCTTGCACTCGAGGTCGCCAATGCTGAAACTTCCTCGGGCAAGCACTCGAGTTTGGCTTGTGCAAGCGGACTACATTCTGCACTGCCTCCAAGTGAGAAAGTAAATATATCCCTTGAAGCTCGAAACCAGAATGGCCTGGACAAGCAAATTTGCAAAATAATGTTACAAAGTTAAGACTCTACTATTACAACATTAACAACTTCTAAATTCAGACAAGAAAATCTTCATTGGTAAATAGAAAACCAAAGAATAAAAAACAGTTGATACCTTGTTGTGCGCTTCTAAACGAGATTGGGACAGTTTGTTAACACCCTGAAGGTGTGCATTTTGCTGGGACAGACATGAAAGCAACCTTACTGAACATATTGGAGAAATGTTCAGAAAAAAGTTCTACTTGATAATTGTCCACCACTTTTCTGTTATCCGCACTGAGCTTGTCCTCTCTCCCTGACAGAGCGCCAAATTGATTTTATAACAACAATTCTTGTGAAAATGGAAGCAAGTTAGAGACAAGACAACTTTCAAAGCACTTGGGTTAGAGTAATGTTTTTCGAACATACCAGCTTTTTTTTGCTCTGAAGTAATGAAATCTTTCTCCTTCATGGCATATTGAGATTTCTTCAGTTCCTCGTGGTGGAAGCAAGCATCTTGCTCGTTTGGCTCAGCTTTTTCTAGGTAGCACAATTGAAGTCCTCAGAGAATAGTGATATAGTATAAAGCACAAATGCAGGAAGTGACCAGTACCTCGGTGACATCAAGCCTGTTAGTCAGATCAGAGCAGTCCCGAGCTTGGCCCGTGTACTTGCCTTGCATCTCCTCAAGTAGATGGTCAGACAAAAATTTATGTAACTTCAAAAATTCATTTCTGACACTCACGTAAATAACAACAACTGTGTTTTGATCTATTGAGTAAGAATAAACCAACCTTTTGATAATTCTCTGTTTGACCACCCATCTGTTCAAATCTCAGCTCAGCCATTGCCTACAAACAGAGCAAAAGAGGGATCATATTAGTACATGAGTAAGGAGGTTACCATGTCCTTTTAGGTCAGAGGAAAACAATTGTGGTCAGAAACTCAATACCTTTTTTTGATAGTATCTCTCTTTTGGCATATAAACACAATTTTTCTCACACGGGAAGCATAGACCTCTAAAAAGACAAGGCCAAGAAAGCACATAAGTAGTAGACAAAGCAGAGGAGTCCAGAGTAGAAGACGTTGTAGCGAGTAAAACTGATTAAGCTGAGTGAAAGTAGAGCCACCCCTCTAATTATTCTATATACGACTACAGTGAGAATGTCTCTTACCCGCCTTAAGTCGTTCTATTTCACCATAAAGGTCCTTTATCAAAGCAGATGTCATCATTTTCTGGTTAAGCTGCCAAAAAAGAAAAGTACAAAGAGTACGAACATGAATTCTGGTTTTTCAATGGGAGAAAAAAGAAACTGATGACTCCGAAAATCTTAAAAGACAATACCTCTGGTTTGCTCCTAATATGCTTTGCCCTGTGGTGCGTAATCTAGAGCACTTAAGGTCTCCTCGAGACAGTGAACAGCAGGTGAAAGTGTTGCAATGATACATGTCTTTGTTCTCCCACCAAGTGAATCACCTAGCTTACTATCCCTACAATTCAGTCCAAGATGTAATTATAAGATTCAGCATACCTTGATACACTGGTACATGATCACTAACATAAAGCAAAAGACCCCAGAAAAGAGCTCAAACCTGGAAGGAATGTGTCCAAGATTTTCTACCCAGAGCACTGATCACTCGCCCTAATGTAAGAAGACTTTTGTTTATTTCACCAGCTCTCTGGAGCAAAGTGAGGATTTCCTGAAGCAGTAACTCCACTCGGTTAGTCAGATCCGCTACAAGCTTCTCCGAGTCAGATTTGGACTGAGCGCATGCCAGTTTAGCACGAAGCTTGAGCATGGTGAAGAATCGCTTGTCATCTCGAAGGTCTGCAAATACCAAAAGATTTCACATGACCAAACGAAACACTTTGTAAGAAAAGGTTAAAGAACATGAACACCGAGTTTTGATTACCAAGTTTTGTTCTAACGAAGATAATGGGAACACCGGGAGCATAATGCCTGAGCTCAGCAATCGAATGAGAGAGAGAAGCATAGTCCTGAAAATCCACGGGTTTATCTTAACACAACCACACTAGCTTCACGATCATCACACTAGCTTCAACGAAATGGCCTAAATCGCATTCTAGAGAAAAATTGAAACGGCACATTACCTGGCGAAGAATACAAGCCGTTGTGGTCTGTCCGTTGACGAAGAGAAGAGAAGAAGAAGAGAAGAGAAGAAGAAGAGAACGAAGAAGAGAAGAGAAGAAGACATGATCGAGAAAAAGAAAAGAAGAGAAGTCGATTAAGACTTTTACTGAGGCGGCACAGTATTTTCCGACGATTTCCGGCGGAGACCACAGTATTTCCCGGCGATTTCGGCGGAGGGACACAGTATTTCCCGGCGATTTCGGCGGAGACACAGACGGCCGAAGAGCACTGAAAAGTTTCTGTAGACCGATGACGGCGAGAATGGTAAGAGAGCTTATCGCCACCGATTTCCAGTCTGCGATCTTCTCCTTCTCAGACTCCTTTTTGTTGAACTCCTTTCCTTCGCTTTCTTCGTGAGCGGCTTCAATATCCACTAAAGGAAACTTCAATGTGAACTTCTGAGACTTCTTACGTGTTGTAGTCCGCTTGCTGAGCTCTAATGGTGGTGGACGCATGGCTTCATCCACAGAATCCTGAAACAGATTGTCAAAATCAAACAAAAAAAATCGCTCTGTGAGAGTTGTTGGCGGGGACGGAGGGAAAACAAATGAATCCTTTCTTTGATTATTTTTGAAAATTAAATTAAAAATGGCAAAACTCAAGAAGAGATTTGGGCTTCTCGGAAAACCATTGGGCTGTTTCAAATTTAAAAACCTAATTGTTGTTTCTTTTTTCTTTTCAATCGGGTTTCTTCGCTCAGTTGCTACTACAGTGGCGTTTGTTTCCACATTTCGCCTCATCTTTGCCGGATCCAGCAGCATCTCCTCAAGGGTTCTTCGTCACAGGTAATTAAATTCCTTCTGGAATTAAATTAATAAGGAACTGGCACAAGATCGATAATTTTGTACATAAACATCTCAATTTTTTTGACAAAAAAAAAAAAAGAATATAAACATAAATTGTTTTAGACTATTTGGTGACTTTTCCTGAAGTGAAATCTATACTTATCGTCTAAGCTGTTCTTAGATTAGAAAGGACCCTATCCTAAGTTTTTTTGCAAATCGTGAATCATTGATTTCATTTCGTTACACCAAATCTCGATGTTTTCTCAAGCTCGTTGAGGTTATTGTACTTACCTTAGAAAATGTTATCTGTGCAATGAAGAAGTACATTTTGGGGGTTGATTCTCTAGGCGATAAAGGAAATTGTTGTTTTGTGTTTACTTTGTCTGTTCTATGAAATGGATACTTTCTATTAGATGCTCATGAGAGGATTATTGTTATTGTATCAGTTGAACTCGAGAAGCAAAGCTATTGTGATCTTAAAGTTGCCAATAAAACAGAGCATTATGTTGCTTTCAAGGTAATTCTACATCAAACCACCCAGCTTCATATGCTTTCTTTGTGATGAAACTATTTCTTCCCCAAAATTGACTTCTTCTATTGTGTTTTCTTCCTTCACCAAATCAGGTGAAAACAACATCTCCAAAGAAGTATTTTGTAAGACCCAACACTGGTGTCATACAGCCATGGGACTCCTGCATCATTAGAGGTGACAGTGATTCTTTATAAACTCTATCAGTTATTGGTAGTATCCTCCAGATATGCAGTGCAAAGACAAGTTTCTCCTTCAGAGTACCATTGTACCTCCACACACTGATGTGGATGAACTTCCACAGGACACAGCAAGTCTCCCGATAAAACATGATTTTTATTTCGCATTTTTGGGGAAAACTATATTGACGTGAAATTTGCGATGCCTGTGTATAGTTTACAAGGACAGCGGGAAAACATTAACAGAGTGTAAGCTCAAGGTCTCGTATATTACTCCGTCTACAACTCAAAGATCCTCTGAATCTGGAGCAACCAATGGCGACGGAAATGGCTCTGAAACCATCACTGTCTGTGAGTACTGCATCCTGATGTTATTTAATCTGCATGTGGTAATGACTTCCTGTAAATGATCTTAACCGCATTGTTTGGTCGTGTGCGGTAACCAATTATGATCATAGCAGAAGCCTTAGAGTAGGACGATTCTCTATGTGATACCAATATATACTATGGACCTCTCGCATAGATAGGTCTCCTTTATTTTGTGATAACTATACAAACTAGTTTCATTCAGTTTACATGCTTGCTTCATTTAGTGGTCCTTAATATGTAAATCGATTTGAGCTTTTGCTTCCTTTCTTTCTCGCCTCGAGGTTTAATTTTTCACCGTAGTTGTTGAATTGCAGGTTTATGCGCTTACCGGCGGCGTTGCACCTCTTTTGCCTTCAATTGATGTTACCACAGCTAAAGCGCCGTCCTCCGGCAGATGAGAAGGTCAAATTTAAGGGCTTTTGAGACTTTATCTTCTTGTTTTATGACTTTGCCTGTTTTTGAGTTTCGGCATGATGGTTATGTTACTATGCTAAGCGCCCTTCTTTCAGGTCGTTTGGCAATGGCTTCCCTTCACAAAGATGATTTACAGCTTTTACCATTGGGTAAGTTCCTTATCTGTGCAACGCCATTGCATGAGCGCTTGAGCATTTCCTCTTTTCTTATTAATGATCTATATCTTCAAAGGTTAGAGTGGTTAATGGTGTTCCACCAACAGGTGATTATTCGTTTGCCAAATACAACGGGGTATTTATTATATGGCCTTGATGGTTTAACTCTTCTTTCTCCGTTTTTTTGCTTCTTCTGATGTCAAAATTCCCATCTTAATGTCAAAATTGCAGTCAGTTGATATCTCTCTCCATCATCTAGTTCTCAACTTCCCTGCAACTGCTACTATGGCAGATTATGCAATCTATCCTTGCGTGTTATCTGAAGAGAACATCTCTCTAAAAAGCTTAGACATCAGGAGAAGATAGATGCTGAGGTTTGTCACTTTAATTTTGATTAAACAGGCAACCAAAAAAACAGAAGATAGTTATTTGCTTTCTCTTACCCGTCTCCCATAACTACAGGTTCTTGCTGAGGCTAAAAGAATCACAGAGATGCGTTTAGCTGCACGTGTAAGTGTTGACTTAAAATCAATATCTCACTCATACTAACTAAATCACAGTAGTTGAAATTTGCTTACCATTATTGAAGATACACTTTTTAACCTTGGACGCATATCAGAACTCTCTTATCAACATCTTGTCTCTAACACTATTGTTCTTTCTGGCTGTCCAGCGTGCGGAAGGAGACTGATGTGTCCGCGAATGAGAATATTGGTAGCTGATGGGGTAGTTCCAGGGCGTAGTGTATCTTCATCATCTAGTTCTCAACTCCCTGCAACTGCTGTGGATCCATCAACTGCTACTATGGCAGATTATGCCTCTACCCTTGCTTCTCTGCGCATGGCGAGTGTCTCTCTGTTCTTATCTTCCCTTTTTTTTTTTTTTTTTTTTTTTTGTGTGTCTCCAACTATCTGATTCTTGTTGGTGAATCTGTCAAATTTTCAGCTTCATGTATACTTGAGAGCCTATGGACTTGAGCAAATGGTCCAAGCTGCAAGCTCTGCTGTTGGTCTTCGAACGATTCAAGCAAGACCTCGGGGTTTGTTTTTGCTTCTTCCTCTGCTTAACTGTATCTGTTTTTGTTACTGTAAGTTGCTTATCTTCCCCCCCCCCATTGACTGATGAATAATGACTTATAAAGGCAGTCTCACTCAAGCTAGGCTTTGAATGTCTTCTACTACTAACCTATGGGGATTTTGGGTTTGTTAGAGGCTAGGTCTATATGATTGGGGCTACTTTTAAGGTTTGCCAAATGGATTTTGAGCATGTGGAGAGTTTTCTGTTTACAGGTTTAATTTAATGCCCAAAAGTTCCTACAAAAACTGTTTGTGATGAGCATCTTGAGTTACGAAAAGAAAATTTTAACACTGTTGAATCTTCAGAAGCAGTTTGTTGAATCCTCATAGATTTACAAATATACAACTACTTCTGTTTCTCTTTTTCTAACTTGTCTCCTTTATATTGCGTGGTTTGATGGTCGTAATTTCAGCTAAAATGTCACTCGCAATTTTCATTGTATGTATGTATTTACCCTTTAAAAAGATTCGTCTGGATTTTCGTGTTCGGATCTTTCCTCTTCTTTTGTCGACAAAAGAGTCCCAGAATAGTTCCATGTTTCTTCACTTCATCTGATTGATAAATTAGTCAACGTTCCTTCCTTTTTCCATTGTCTTTATTTTCCTCCAATATTTTGTAACAGTAAAGTAAAAATGTAAAAGTGAAAAGATATATTTATATAAAAGCTACTGAATGGTAGATAACTAGATATCCTCGACTGGACGTCTGATCATATAATCGTTTGTAGAACAAACTTATTGTCTGGGAATGGAGTATCGTTTCTGATTATTTTGCATTAGTCGTATTTGTTACATTTGTTTTATACCATTGAAATCCATTGCATATTCTTTATTGAATTGGCTTGTAACCCCATATTTCAACAATATAATACCAATTACAAAACGATAACAACTATCTCTTCTATAACAACAATTTAAAATTGTACGATTTTTTATGCCTTAGATGCAACATAAATTGAATTTTTATGCTTTAGATGCAACATAAATGCATGATACTATAAAAAAAAACGCATAAATTTATATGATATGTAAAATGCAAAAAATTATCAGTCTCGCACATTTTCTAGTGAAAGCTACAGTAATCCCTTGATTTTGATATTTTCATTTACAAATTAATTACTTTATGGGACAGTGATGTAAGTAGGTGTAAGAGTTTATTTGGTCCCTAATACTGCAGGCTTGTTTGAAGTTCCTGTCTATGCCTGAAGGTACATGGTACTGCTCGAGCTCTCTAAAGCTCCAGCAAGCGAAATTGGTGTCTGTGCCTTCTGCAGGTTGGTCGCATTCCCCTAGTCAACTTTCTCGGCTGTGAAAAATGTGAATACATGTGCAAAACCACTGCGATAGGCACTTTTGATTACTCTTCAGGACCTGATAAACTCTGATCATACAATACCTATGTTTGACATCGGAATATTTGATGATAGGACTGTTATTCTCTGTGAGCAGGTTCCTCTAATCTCTCTTGTGATTATATATCTCAGAGCACCATTTGACCAACATGCCTTTCAGGTTAGTGATTAGTTTAAACTCTTCGTCTCATCACTTGCTGCTTTTAGAGCAGTACGGTCGTCCATTGTTAGTGCATTGTCTCAGTGATCTAGTTCAACATTGTTCCTTGAGTTTTGGGGGCTTCCGTAAATGAGAGAGAACTAATAATATATATATGCACAAAAACAAAAAACAAAAAGAGAGTAGATGTTGGTTGTTTTGGCTGCTCTAGACATGCCTTGTATCTTGTGCTTGTAACTCTATGCTTAATTAAAGTAGGTGATGCTTGTAACTGTATCTTGTTGTATGGACTGTTGAACTGTAACAGAGGTTCATTTCTCTAGTCTTTAGTTCGTATCCAGACAACAGTATAGGATGCCTGAGTCGCTATGATGTCTATTACTTTTGGGACACAGGTGGATTTCTGCTCGCTTGTCTGATTCCTGTCCAAGGATCACTAAAATCTGTCAAGCAACCTGTTACGGAGAATGGCGAGGCAACCCCTTTTTGAGGTTTTTTTTTACCTGAATATGCAGAAAAGACAGAGAAAATGGAATATTTACAGTGAAATGGAGGATACTTAGTGGAAAAAGTCGATACCCAGATACTTGGACCAGCGGCTGTAATCTTCAGGGTAGACTTCAGATGTGTGCCAGTTATCTTTTGGTTAGATGTTTGATCAATTTTCTCTTTTATAGAACAAACATGCAGCCTAATGCTCGTATGGTCGTAATCTCATTCCTGTCATGCCGTATGGGTTAGTTATGACGTGATAATCTGATCATGGAGTTGATTCGTATCGTAATTCTTATGGCATATCTACAGGAGAAGTATACATATAGTCCTGATTGTAAAGTATGTTTGCTGCTGTTAATGCATGTTCTCTTCCTCTTCATTTTTGATTTATGTACTCTTACAACTTCTCTGTGTGCGTGTAGTTCTCTTCTTGTTTCTGCTGCGCTGCTGAGAATTTCTGGTCAGCAGGCTGCTGAACTTGCTCCTATTGTTGTAGCCACAAGCAGAGAGAACCGAGCAAGGGTAAAGTGTCTCTAAAACACTGTCTCGATATAGAGTTTATTGTAATAAAATTCTTTCGTTTGCTTTATGGTTGTTGGAGGTATTGAATGAGAGTGACTCACAATAACTACTTTGCTGAGTAGATCTTCAACACTTGAATGAACCAGATTTAAAGTTGCTATTAGCTTTAAAGGTTGTTATGGGGTCTTTTACTTACTTAGAATAGAAATAGAGAAAAGGGGGCATAAATTTTGAAGTATTGAGGAAGTCTACAGGAGAAGTGTACATATTGTCCTGATTGTAAAGTATGTTTGCTGCCTTTAATGCACGTTCTCTTCCTCTTTATTTTTGATTTATGTACTCTTACAACTTCTCTGTGTGCGTGTAGTTCTCTTGTTGTTTTTGCTGCGCTGCTGAGAATTTCTGGTCAGCAGGCTGCTGAACTTGCTCCTATTGTTGTAGCCACAAGCAGAGTCTACCGAGCAAGGGTAAAGCCTCTGTTCACCCCATTTATGTGTAAATGGTCTCTAGGGCCTACTGTTTGAGTGTGGAGAATCTTCTTTCGTCTCTACATGTTAGGAACCTCGTCCTTCCGAGTCTACATGGACACATAAGTTTGGCTTTACAAAAGATGACTGAGCAGAAAGTAAGTGAAGAAAACGTTCTCTTGGGATCGTTATTATGTTATGATTTGCTATGGAATTGTGTTTTGTTAGATTTTTAGTATTCATTCACAAAAGTGGGCACGTCTAAAATAGTTTCTAGAGAATCATGCCTATTTATATATATTTTGGCTTAAGTAGCAAAGATGGTAGCAGACAGTTAAAATAGTGTTTTGCAGAAGGAAGTGCAGCTTACAATCGTTAAAGGGACCTCAATGCTGGAGAAGAGAGAGTTTATTAGAATCAACAGCTCCCATCTGGATCTTTTAAAAAGGTTCGTCTGGATTTTGGTGTTCGGATCTTTCCTCTTTTTTTTTTTTTTTTTTTTTTTTTTTTGTTTCCTTTTTGGGTGCTTTGGTTCTCTTCTGAAAATAGATGATTAGGTCGACAAAAGGTGTCACACAACAGTTCCACCTTTGTAAAGACCAAAGGGGAACAGTACTCATAAGGATTTGTAAGACTAGTGGGGAACTTATATATATGTATTTATGGTTTGAGCATTTTGTCCTCAAAGCCGCCTCAGTTAACATCATTCAAATCACTCTCGTCACAGATTTGCTGTGTTTTGGTCTGGTTGCAGCTAGAGTGATCACAGACAGGGAGACCGGAGATCAAAGGGTTTCTGTTTTGTGACGTATGCAACAACAGAAGATGCAGCAGGAGGAGCGTCGGCGTTTGTTCTCTAGGGTTCAAGCTTAATGTTCGATTTCCAGACCAAAACAGTACAAAAATCTGCAGCTTCCCCTGATGTCGAGCCCGGCGATTGTTCTAAAAAGAGATGCATGCCTCCCTCAAGCTTCCCCATTTCTTCGCGCCTAAGGTCTCTTCTCTCATTCTCCATCTCTTCCCCTTTCCTATCTCTATGTGTTTTGGTCTCCGATTATGCAAGAAAAACATACAAACTTTGGAGTTTTTTTGTTTTGTTTTCATGTCTCAGACTTTTTATGGTGTCTTCCCGGAGGTATGTCTTGGTGTCTCTTGTTCTCCTCATATCTTTCAACATTGTTCCCGTTTGCTACTTAAAATGAATCCACAGGAAGTGCTCAAAAGGCTTGTTCGGTGCAAGTGCTCTGATGAAATTGCATAACCCGGTAAAAGGTTTTGCAGAAAGAGCTTCTCCAAGAACTTCCAACACTAGTCAACTCGATGTCAGACTCTGTTCCTTTCTCTCTAGTATAATCTTTTTTTTCCTTTCTCTCTCTCAGCTCCTTGAGTCACAGTCTGCAGTTTATATATCATCCTCTTATCCAGATCAGTTTGATATACAGGGCAGTTTCTGTTGCTACAGCAATCACGACAACGGATCTTGTAAGCAAGAGCGTGGCAGTTGAATCACATGTAGTCTCAAGAAACTCAGTTGTGCTCTGTTTCTTGCAAAATTTTCATATAAGATTTGACATTTCTCAGGTCGGAGGAACCACAATTCGAGTTGGGGGTGTGGCAAAAGGCTCCGGGATGATCCATCCAAGTATGGCAACCTCCTGAGACTGTGACCATGGCCAAGAGACAGGGTTTCATGTACTGTTGTTGTGTTATGATCTCAATTTGTAAACTTATTTTGCTTCATATTAAAGTTGATTTATCATACTTGATACAAATGCAAATGCACACAAAAACAAAAACAATTGTAATTTGTAGGTAATATAAATAAACTTTTTTAACGTATGTATGCCTTAATTTGTATTGATAAACTAAAAAATGTTGTACAAGTCAAAAGAAAGAAGAGGCATCTGGTGGATGGGTAATTTGTAACAGTATATATATATATTTTTTTTTTTTTGTCGTCTTTATAATATTTGAAACCCAACAAGGGTAAAGCAGAGGTTACAAACTTTTCGCAGGCCCGTAAATGAGAGAGAGCTTGGGATAAGTTTCTTTAAAGAGTGAAGAGAGTAAGTAATGTTACTTTACTATGCTGTGAGGAACAACTTACCATGTATCGTGCTGGTCGTTATCACAAGCAGAGTTAACGAGTAAAGACACATCTGCGACTTGCTTGCTGTTGAGAGATTCATGAGTTAAGTTGCAGTGTTTGAAAGCTAACTCCGCATGACCCACACTAACGCATAGAAGGATACAAAAGGGTTAAAAACGCATTACTGAAAGATTGTATGTAACTCAAGAAATTGCAAAAAAACCACTGCAATGATCTTACGATTGCTGAAGCAGCAACTCCATTCGACAGTGTTTTGCAGCCGAGAAATCAGCACCTTCTCTGGCGTCATTCTCAGCTTGCATGGAAACTGTCTCCCACTTTCTCTTTGCGTCATCAGTCAGATTATGTACGACAGAGACGTGTTCATCCGAGAACGTTTCGTTGGAAGAGACGGCATCTTTAAAGCTGTGGAGTCTTGAATCCACCTGCCACGAGAAAAACAATACAGTTTCGTGTATCATGCAGTGGAAGACAAAATGAAATCGATGAAAGAAGAAGCAACGAACCAATTCAGTAATGAAAGACAATCTCAGTGCACTAACCAGTCTCAATTCCCCGGCAAAGAGAGCCATTTCTCCTGAAGCAAGAGCATTCTGAAGTTCATCACATAACGACGGTGTTGTCCCATCCCCGGAAGCAAGAAACTGAAACCGGCAAGAAAACCAGTTTTAGAACACACCAAAAGTCACAACGACAAGGAAAGAAATCAAGAAAGGCATCAATGGAACTTGCACTCGAGGTCGCCAATGCTGAAACTTCCTCGAGGCAAGCACTCGAGTTTGGCTTGTGCAAGCGGACTACATTCTGCACTGCCTCCAAGTGAGAAGTAAATATATCCCTTGAAGCTCGAACCAGAATGGCCTGGACAAGCAAATTTGCAAAATAATGTTACAAAGTTAAGACTCTACTATTACAACATTAACAACTTCTAAATTCAGACAAGAAAATCTTCATTGGTAAATAGAAAACCAAAGAATAAAACAGTTGATACCTTGTTGTGCGCTTCTAAACGAGATTGGGACAGTTTGTTAACACCCTGAAGGTGTGCATTTTGCTGGGACAGACATGAAGCAACCTTACTGAACATATTGGAGAAATGTTCAGAAAAAAGTTCTACTTGATAATTGTCCACCACTTTTCTGTTATCCGCACTGAGCTTGTCCTCTCTCCCTGCAGAGCGCCAAATTGATTTTATAACAACAATTCTTGTGAAACGGAAGCAAGTTAGAGACAAGACAACTTTTCAAGCACTTGGGTTAGAGTAATGTTTTTCGAACATACCAGCTTTTTTCTGCTCTGAAGTAATGAAATCTTTCTCCTTCATGGCATATTGAGATTTCTTCAGTTCCTCGTTGGTGGAAGCAAGCATCTTGCTCGTTTGGCTCAGCTTTTTCTAGGTAGCACAATTGAAGTCTCAGAGAATAGTGATATAGTTATAAAGCACAAATGCAGGAAGTGACCAGTACCTCGGTGACATCAAGCCTGTTAGTCAGATCAGAGCAGTCCCGAGCTTGGCCCGTGTACTTGCCTTGCATCTCCTCAAGTAGCTGGTCAGAAAATTTATGTAACTTCAAAATTCATTTCTGACACTCACGTAAATAACAACAACTGTGTTTTGATCTATTGAGTAAGAATAAACCAACCTTTTGATAATTCTCTGTTTGACCACCCATCTGTTCAATCTGCTCAGCCATTGCCTACAAACAGAGCAAAAGAGGGATCATATTAGTACATGAGTAAGGAGGTTACCATGTCCTTTTAGGTCAGAGGAACAATTGTGGTCAGAAACTCAATACCTTTTTTTGATAGTATCTCTCTTTTGGCATATAAACACAATTTTTCTCACGGGAAGCATAGACCTCTAAAAAGACAAGCCAAGAAAGCACATAAGTAGTAGACAAGCAGAGGAGTCAGAGTAGAAGACGTTGTAGCGAGTAAACTGATTAAGCTGAGTGAAAGTAGAGCCACCCCTCTAATTATTCTATATACGACTACAGTGAGAATGTCTCTTACCCGCCTTAAGTCGTTCTATTTCACCATAAAGGTCCTTTATCAAAGCAGATGTCATCATTTTCTGGTTAAGCTGCCAAAAAAGAAAAGTACAAAGAGTACGAACATGAATTCTGGTTTTTCAATGGAGAAAAGAAACTGATGACTCCGAAAATCTTAAAAGACAATACCTCTGGTTTGCTCCTAATATGCTTTGCCCTGTGTGCGTAATCTAGAGCACTTAAGGTCTCCTCGAGACAGTGAACAGCAGGTGAAAGTGTTGCAATGATACATGTCTTTGTTCTCCCACCAAGTGAATCACCTAGCTTACTATCCCTACAATTCAGTCCAAGATGTAATTATAAGATTCAGCATACCTTGATACACTGGTACATGATCACTAACATAAAGCAAAAGACCCCAGAAAAGAGCTCAAACCTGGAAGGAATGTGTCCAAGATTTTCTACCAGAGCACTGATCACTCGCCCTAATGTAAGAAGACTTTTGTTTATTTCACCAGCTCTCTGGAGCAAAGTGAGGATTTCCTGAAGCAGTAACTCCACTCGGTTAGTCAGATCCGCTACAAGCTTCTCCGAGTCAGATTTTGACTGAGCGCATGCCAGTTTAGCACGAAGCTTGAGCATGGTGAAGAATCGCTTGTCATCTCGAAGGTCTGCAAATACCAAAGATTTCACATGACCAAACAAAACTTTGTAAGAAAGGTTAAAGAACATGAACACCGAGTTTGATTACCAAGTTTTGTTCTAACGAAGATAATGGGAACACCGGGAGCATAATGCCTGAGCTCAGCAATCGACTGAGAGAGAGAAGCATAGTCCTGAAAATCCACGGGTTTATCTTAACACAACCACACTAGCTTCACGATCATCACACTAGCTTCAACGAAATGGCCTAAATCGCATTCTAGAGAAAAATTGAAACGGCACATTACCTGGCGAAGAATACAAGCCGTTGTGGTCTGTCCGTTGACGAAGAGAAGAGAAGAAGAAGAGAAGAGAAGAAGAAGAGAAACGAAGAAGAGAAGAGAAGAAGACATGATCGAGAAAAAGAAAAGAAGAGAAGTCGATTAAGACTTTTACTGAGGCGGCACAGTATTTTCCGACGATTCCGGCGGAGACACAGTATTTCCCGGCGATTTCGGCGGAGACACAGTATTTCCCGGCGATTTCGGCGGAGACACAGACGGCCGAAGAGCACTGAAAAGTTTCTGTAGACCGATGACGGCGAGAATGGTAAGAGAGCTTATCGCCACCGATTTCCAGTCTGCGATCTTCTCCTTCTCAGACTCCTTTTTGTTGAACTCCTTTCCTTCGCTTTCTTCGTGAGCGGCTTCAATATCCACTAAAGGAAACTTCAATGTGAACTTCTGAGACTTCTTACGTGTTGTAGTCCGCTTGCTGAGCTCTAATGGTGGTGGACGCATGGCTTCATCACAGAATCCTGAAACAGATTGTCAAAATCAAACAAAAAAATCGCTCTGTGAGAGTTGTTGGCGGGGACGGAGGGAAAACAAATGAATCCTTTCTTTGATTATTTTTGAAAATTAAATTAAAATGGCAAAACTCAAGAAGAGATTTGGGCTTCTCGGAACCATTGGGCTGTTTCAAATTTAAAAACCTAATTGTTGTTTCTTTTTTCTTTTCAATCGGGTTTCTTCGCTCAGTTGCTACTACAGTGGCGTTTGTTTCCACATTTCGCCTCATCTTTGCCGGATCCAGCAGCATCTCCTCAAGGGTTCTTCGTCACAGGTAATTAAATTCCTTCTGGAATTAAATTAATAAGGAACTGGCACAAGATCGATAATTTTGTACATAAACATCTCAATTTTTTTGACAAAAAAAAAAAAGAATATAAACATAAATTGTTTTAGACTATTTGGTGACTTTTCCTGAAGTGAAATCTATACTTATCGTCTAAGCTGTTCTTAGATTAGAAAGGACCCTATCCTAAGTTTTTTTGCAAATCGTGAATCATTGATTTCATTTCGTTACACCAAATCTCGATGTTTTCTCAAGCTCGTTGAGGTTATTGTACTTACCTTAGAAAATGTTATCTGTGCAATGAAGAAGTACATTTTGGGGGTTGATTCTCTAGGCGATAAAGGAAATTGTTGTTTTGTGTTTACTTTGTCTGTTCTATGAAATGGATACTTTCTATTAGATGCTCATGAGAGGATTATTGTTATTGTATCAGTTGAACTCGAGAAGCAAAGCTATTGTGATCTTAAAGTTGCCAATAAAACAGAGCATTATGTTGCTTTCAAGGTAATTCTACATCAAACCACCCAGCTTCATATGCTTTCTTTGTGATGAAACTATTTCTTCCCCAAAATTGACTTCTTCTATTGTGTGTTTTTCTTCCTTCACCAAATCAGGTGAAAACAACATCTCCAAAGAAGTATTTTGTAAGACCCAACACTGGTGTCATACAGCCATGGGACTCCTGCATCATTAGAGGTGACAGTGATTCTTTATAACTCTATCAGTTATTGGTAGTATCCTCCAGATATGCAGTGCAAAGACAAGTTTCTCCTTCAGAGTACCATTGTACCTCCACACACTGATGTGGATGAACTTCCACAGGACACAGCAAGTCTCCCGATAAAACATGATTTTTATTTCGCATTTTTGGGGAAAACTATATTGACGTGAAATTTGCGATGCCTGTGTATAGTTTACCAAGGACAGCGGGAAAACATTAACAGAGTGTAAGCTCAAGGTCTCGTATATTACTCCGTCTACAACTCAAAGATCCTCTGAATCTGGAGCAACCAATGGCGACGGAAATGGCTCTGAAACCATCACTGTCTGTGAGTACTGCATCCTGATGTTATTTAATCTGCATGTGGTAATGACTTCCTGTAAATGATCTTAACCGCATTGTTTGGTCGTGTGCGGTAACCAATTATGATCATAGCAGAAGCCTTAGAGTAGGACGATTCTCTATGTGATACCAATATATACTATGGACCTCTCGCATAGATAGGTCTCCTTTATTTTGTGATAACTATACAAACTAGTTTCATTCAGTTTACATGCTTGCTTCATTTAGTGGTCCTTAATATGTAAATCGATTTGAGCTTTTGCTTCCTTTCTTTCTCGCCTCGAGGTTTAATTTTTCACCGTAGTTGTTGAATTGCAGGTTTATGCGCTTACCGGCGGCGTTGCACCTCTTTTGCCTTCAATTGATGTTACCACAGCTAAAGCGCCGTCCTCCGGCAGATGAGAAGGTCAAATTTAAGGGCTTTTGAGACTTTATCTTCTTGTTTTATGACTTTGCCTGTTTTGAGTTTCGGCATGATGGTTATGTTACTATGCTAAGCGCCCTTCTTTCAGGTCGTTTGGCAATGGCTTCCCTTCACAAAGATGATTTACAGCTTTACCATTGGGTAAGTTCCTTATCTGTGCAACGCCATTGCATGAGCGCTTGAGCATTTCCTCTTTTCTTATTAATGATCTATATCTTCAAAGGTTAGAGTGGTTAATGGTGTTCCACCAACAGGTGATTATTCGTTTGCCAAATACAACGGGGTATTTATTATATGGCCTTGATGGTTTAACTCTTCTTTCTCCGTTTTTTGCTTCTTCTGATGTCAAAATTCCCATCTTAATGTCAAAATTGCAGTCAGTTGATATCTCTCTCCATCATCTAGTTCTCAACTTCCCTGCAACTGCTACTATGGCAGATTATGCAATCTATCCTTGCGTGTTATCTGAAGAGAACATCTCTCTAAAAGCTTAGACATCAGGAGAAGATAGATGCTGAGGTTTGTCACTTTAATTTTGATTAAACAGGCAACCAAAAAACAGAAGATAGTTATTTGCTTTCTCTTACCCGTCTCCCATAACTACAGGTTCTTGCTGAGGCTAAAAGAATCACAGAGATGCGTTTAGCTGCACGTGTAAGTGTTGACTTAAAATCAATATCTCACTCATACTAACTAAATCACAGTAGTTGAAATTTGCTTACCATTATTGAAGATACACTTTTTAACCTTGGACGCATATCAGAACTCTCTTATCAACATCTTGTCTCTAACACTATTGTTCTTTCTGGCTGTCCAGCGTGCGGAAGGAGACTGATGTGTCCGCGAATGAGAATATTGGTAGCTGATGGGGTAGTTCCAGGGCGTAGTGTATCTTCATCATCTAGTTCTCAACTCCCTGCAACTGCTGTGGATCCATCAACTGCTACTATGGCAGATTATGCCTCTACCCTTGCTTCTCTGCGCATGGCGAGTGTCTCTCTGTTCTTATCTTCCCTTTTTTTTTTTTTTTTTTTTTTTTTTTGTGTCTCCAACTATCTGATTCTTGTTGGTGAATCTGTCAAATTTTCAGCTTCATGTATACTTGAGAGCCTATGGACTTGAGCAAATGGTCCAAGCTGCAAGCTCTGCTGTTGGTCTTCGAACGATTCAAGCAAGACCTCGGGGTTTGTTTTTGCTTCTTCCTCTGCTTAACTGTATCTGTTTTTTTGTACTGTAAGTTGCTTATCTTCCCCCCCCCCCCCCCCCCCCCCCCCCCCCCCATTGACTGATGAATAATGACTTATAAAGGCAGTCTCACTCAAGCTAGGCTTTGAATGTCTTCTACTACTAACCTATGGGGATTTTGGGTTTGTTAGAGGCTAGGTCTATATGATTGGGGCTACTTTTAAGGTTTGCCAAATGGATTTTGAGCATGTGGAGAGTTTTCTGTTTACAGGTTTAATTTAATGCCAAAAGTTCCTACAAAAACTGTTTGTGATGAGCATCTTGAGTTACGAAAAGAAAATTTTAACACTGTTGAATCTTCAGAAGCAGTTTGTTGAATCCTCATAGATTTACAAATATACAACTACTTCTGTTTCTCTTTTTCTAACTTGTCTCCTTTATATTGCGTGGTTTTGATGGTCGTAATTTCAGCTAAAATGTCACTCGCAATTTTCATTGTATGTATGTATTTACCCTTTAAAAAGATTCGTCTGGATTTTCGTGTTCGGATCTTTCCTCTTCTTTTGTCGACAAAAGAGTCCCAGAATAGTTCCATGTTTCTTCACTTCATCTGATTGATAAATTAGTCAACGTTCCTTCCTTTTTCCATTGTCTTTATTTTCCTCCAATATTTTGTAACAGTAAAGTAAAAATGTAAAAGTGAAAAGATATATTTATATAAAAGCTACTGAATGGTAGATAACTAGATATCCTCGACTGGACGTCTGATCATATAATCGTTTGTAGAACAAACTTATTGTCTGGGAATGGAGTATCGTTTCTGATTATTTTGCATTAGTCGTATTTGTTACATTTGTTTTATACCATTGAAATCCATTGCATATTCTTTATTGAATTGGCTTGTAACCCCATATTTCAACAATATAATACCAATTACAAAACGATAACAACTATCTCTTCTATAACAACAATTTAAAATTGTACGATTTTTTATGCCTTAGATGCAACATAAATTGAATTTTTATGCTTTAGATGCAACATAAATGCATGATACTATAAAAAAAACGCATAAATTTATATGATATGTAAAATGCAAAAAATTATCAGTCTCGCACATTTTCTAGTGAAAGCTACAGTAATCCCTTGATTTTGATATTTTCATTTACAAATTAATTACTTTATGGGACAGTGATGTAAGTAGGTGTAAGAGTTTATTTGGTCCCTAATACTGCAGGCTTGTTTGAAGTTCCTGTCTATGCCTGAAGGTACATGGTACTGCTCGAGCTCTCTAAAGCTCCAGCAAGCGAAATTGGTGTCTGTGCCTTCTGCAGGTTGGTCGCATTCCCCTAGTCAACTTTCTCGGCTGTGAAAAATGTGAATACATGTGCAAAACCACTGCGATAGGCACTTTTGATTACTCTTCAGGACCTGATAAACTCTGATCATACAATACCTATGTTTGACATCGGAATATTTGATGATAGGACTGTTATTCTCTGTGAGCAGGTTCCTCTAATCTCTCTTGTGATTATATATCTCAGAGCACCATTTGACCAACATGCCTTTCAGGTTAGTGATTAGTTTAAACTCTTCGTCTCATCACTTGCTGCTTTTTAGAGCAGTACGGTCGTCCATTGTTAGTGCATTGTCTCAGTGATCTAGTTCAACATTGTTCCTTGAGTTTTGGGGGCTTCCGTAAATGAGAGAGAACTAATAATATATATATGCACAAAAACAAAAAACAAAAAGAGAGTAGATGTTGGTTGTTTTGGCTGCTCTAGACATGCCTTGTATCTTGTGCTTGTAACTCTATGCTTAATTAAAGTAGGTGATGCTTGTAACTGTATCTTGTTGTATGGACTGTTGAACTGTAACAGAGGTTCATTTCTCTAGTCTTTAGTTCGTATCCAGACAACAGTATAGGATGCCTGAGTCGCTATGATGTCTATTACTTTTGGGACACAGGTGGATTTCTGCTCGCTTGTCTGATTCCTGTCCAAGGATCACTAAAATCTGTCAAGCAACCTGTTACGGAGAATGGCGAGGCAACCCCTTTTTGAGGTTTTTTTTTACCTGAATATGCAGAAAAGACAGAGAAAATGGAATATTTACAGTGAAATGGAGGATACTTAGTGGAAAAAGTCGATACCCAGATACTTGGACCAGCGGCTGTAATCTTCAGGGTAGACTTCAGATGTGTGCCAGTTATCTTTTGGTTAGATGTTTGATCAATTTTCTCTTTTATAGAACAAACATGCAGCCTAATGCTCGTATGGTCGTAATCTCATTCCTGTCATGCCGTATGGGTTAGTTATGACGTGATAATCTGATCATGGAGTTGATTCGTATCGTAATTCTTATGGCATATCTACAGGAGAAGTATACATATAGTCCTGATTGTAAAGTATGTTTGCTGCTGTTAATGCATGTTCTCTTCCTCTTCATTTTTGATTTATGTACTCTTACAACTTCTCTGTGTGCGTGTAGTTCTCTTCTTGTTTCTGCTGCGCTGCTGAGAATTTCTGGTCAGCAGGCTGCTGAACTTGCTCCTATTGTTGTAGCCACAAGCAGAGAGAACCGAGCAAGGGTAAAGTGTCTCTAAAACACTGTCTCGATATAGAGTTTATTGTAATAAAATTCTTTCGTTTGCTTTATGGTTGTTGGAGGTATTGAATGAGAGTGACTCACAATAACTACTTTGCTGAGTAGATCTTCAACACTTGAATGAACCAGATTTAAAGTTGCTATTAGCTTTAAAGGTTGTTATGGGGTCTTTTACTTACTTAGAATAGAAATAGAGAAAAGGGGGCATAAATTTTGAAGTATTGAGGAAGTCTACAGGAGAAGTGTACATATTGTCCTGATTGTAAAGTATGTTTGCTGCCTTTAATGCACGTTCTCTTCCTCTTTATTTTTGATTTATGTACTCTTACAACTTCTCTGTGTGCGTGTAGTTCTCTTGTTGTTTTTGCTGCGCTGCTGAGAATTTCTGGTCAGCAGGCTGCTGAACTTGCTCCTATTGTTGTAGCCACAAGCAGAGTCTACCGAGCAAGGGTAAAGCCTCTGTTCACCCCATTTATGTGTAAATGGTCTCTAGGGCCTACTGTTTGAGTGTGGAGAATCTTCTTTCGTCTCTACATGTTAGGAACCTCGTCCTTCCGAGTCTACATGGACACATAAGTTTGGCTTTACAAAAGATGACTGAGCAGAAAGTAAGTGAAGAAAACGTTCTCTTGGGATCGTTTATTATGTTATGATTTGCTATGGAATTGTGTTTTGTTAGATTTTTAGTATTCATTCACAAAAGTGGGCACGTCTAAAATAGTTTCTAGAGAATCATGCCTATTTATATATATTTTGGCTTAAGTAGCAAAGATGGTAGCAGACAGTTAAAATAGTGTTTTGCAGAAGGAAGTGCAGCTTACAATCGTTAAAGGGACCTCAATGCTGGAGAAGAGAGAGTTTATTAGAATCAACAGCTCCCATCTGGATCTTTTAAAAAGGTTCGTCTGGATTTTGGTGTTCGGATCTTTCCTCTCTTTTTTTTTTTTTTTTTTTTTTTTTTTGTTTCCTTTTTGGGTGCTTTGGTTCTCTTCTGAAAATAGATGATTAGGTCGACAAAAGGTGTCACACAACAGTTCCACCTTTGTAAAGACCAAAGGGGAACAGTACTCATAAGGATTTGTAAGACTAGTGGGGAACTTATATATATGTATTTATGGTTTGAGCATTTTGTCCTCAAAGCCGCCTCAGTTAACATCATTCAAATCACTCTCGTCACAGATTTGCTGTGTTTTGGTCTGGTTGCAGCTAGAGTGATCACAGACAGGGAGACCGGAGATCAAAGGGTTTCTGTTTTGTGACGTATGCAACAACAGAAGATGCAGCAGGAGGAGCGTCGGCGTTTGTTCTCTAGGGTTCAAGCTTAATGTTCGATTTCCAGACCAAAACAGTACAAAAATCTGCAGCTTCCCCTGATGTCGAGCCCGGCGATTGTTCTAAAAAGAGATGCATGCCTCCCTCAAGCTTCCCCATTTCTTCGCGCCTAAGGTCTCTTCTCTCATTCTCCATCTCTTCCCCTTTCCTATCTCTATGTGTTTTGGTCTCCGATTATGCAAGAAAAACACATACAAACTTTGGAGTTTTTTTGTTTTGTTTTCATGTCTCAGACTTTTTATGGTGTCTTCCCCGGAGGTATGTCTTGGTGTCTCTTGTTCTCCTCATATCTTTCAACATTGTTCCCGTTTGCTACTTAAAATGAATCCACAGGAAGTGCTCAAAAGGCTTGTTCGGTGCAAGTGCTCTGATGAAATTGCATAACCCGGTAAAGGTTTTGCAGAAAGAGCTTCTCCAAGAACTTCCAACACTAGTCAACTCGATGTCAGACTCTGTTCCTTTCTCTCTAGTATAATCTTTTTTTCCTTTCTCTCTCTCAGCTCCTTGAGTCACAGTCTGCAGTTTATATATCATCCTCTTATCCAGATCAGTTTGATATACAGGGCAGTTTCTGTTGCTACAGCAATCACGACAACGGATCTTGTAAGCAAGAGCGTGGCAGTTGAATCACATGTAGTCTCAAAAGAAACTCAGTTGTGCTCTGTTTCTTGCAAAATTTTCATATAAGATTTGACATTTCTCAGGTCGGAGGAACCACAATTCGAGTTGGGGGGTGTGGCAAAAGGCTCCGGGATGATCCATCCAAGTATGGCAACCTCCTGAGACTGTGACCATGGCCAAGAGACAGGGTTTCATGTACTGTTGTTGTGTTATGATCTCAATTTGTAAACTTATTTTGCTTCATATTAAAGTTGATTTATCATACTTGATACAAATGCAAATGCACACAAAAACAAAAACAATTGTAATTTGTAGGTAATATAAATAAACTTTTTTAACGTATGTATGCCTTAATTTGTATTGATAAACTAAAAAATGTTTGTACAAGTCAAAAGAAAGAAGAGGCATCTGGTGGATGGGTATTTTGTAACAGTATATAGTAATATATTTTTTTTTTTTTGTCGTCTTTATAATATTTGAAACCCAACAAGGGTAAAGCAGAGGTTACAACTTTTTCGCAGGGCCCGTAAATGAGAGAGAGCTTGGGATAAGTTTCTTTAAAGAGTGAAGAGAGTAAGTAATGTTACTTTACTATGCTGTGAGGAACAACTTACCATGTATCGTGCTGGGTCGTTATCACAAGCAGAGTTAACGAGTAAAGACACATCTGCGACTTGCTTGCTGTTGAGAGATTCATGAGTTTTAAGTTGCAGTGTTTGAAAGCTAACTCCGCATGACCCACACTAACGCATAGAAGGATACAAAAGGGTTAAAACGCATTACTGAAAGATTGTATGTAACTCAAGAAATTGCAAAAAAACCACTGCAATGATCTTACGATTGCTGAAGCAGCAACTCCATTCGACAGTGTTTTTGCAGCCGAGAAATCAGCACCTTCTCTGGCGTTCATTCTCAGCTTGCATGGAAACTGTCTCCCACTTTCTCTTTTGCGTCATCAGTCAGATTATGTACGACAGAGACGTGTTTCATCCGAGAACGTTTCGTTGGAAGAGACGGCATCTTTAAAGCTGTGGAGTTCTTGAATCCACCTGCCACGAGAAAAACAATACAGGTTTCGTGTATCATGCAGTGGAAGACAAAATGAAATCGATGAAAAGAAGAAGCAACGAACCAATTCAGTAATGAAAGACAATCTCAGTGCACTAACCAGTCTCAATTCCCCGGCAAAGAGAGCCATTTCTCCTGAAGCAAGAGCATTCTGAAGTTCATCACATAACGACGGTGTGTTGTCCCATCCCCGGAAAGCAAGAAACTGAAACCGGCAAGAAAACCAGTTTTTTTAGAAGCACATCCCAAAAGTCACAACGACAAGGAAAGAAATCAAGAAAGGCCTCAATGGAACTTGCACTCGAGGTCCGCCAATGCTGAAACTTCCTCGAGGCAGCACTCGAGTTTGGCTTGTGCAAGCGGACTACATTCTGCACTGCCTCCAAGTGAGAAGTAAATATATCCCTTGAAGCTCGAACCAGAATGGCCTGGACAAGCAAATTTGCAAAATAATGTTACAAAGTTAAGACTCTACTATTACAACATTAACAACGGATTCTAAAATTCAGACAAGAAAATCTTCATTGGTAAATAGAAAACCAAAGATAAAACAGTTGATACCTTGTTGTGCGCTTCTAAACGAGATTGGGGACAGTTTGTTTAACACCCTGAAGGTGTGGCATTTTTTGCTGGGGACAGCAAACCATGAAAGCAACCCTTACTGAACATATTGTTCAAGAAATGTTCAGCAAAAAAGTTCTACTTGATAATTGTCCACCACTTTTCTGTTATCCGCACTGAGCTTGTCCTCTCTCCCTGCAGAGCGCCACATTGATTTTATAACAACAATTCTTGTGAAACGGAAGCAAGTTAGAGACAAGACAACTTTTCAAGCACTTGGGTTTAGAGTAATGTTTTTTCGAACATACCAGCTTTTTTTCTGCTCTGAAGTAATGAAATCTTTCCTCCTTCATGGCATATTGAGATTTCTGCAGTTCCTCGATTGGTGGAAGCAAGCATCTTGCTCGTTTGGCTCAGCTTTTTTTCTAGGGTAGTGCACACAATTGAAGTCTCAGAGAATAGTGATATAGTTTATACAAGCACAAATGCAGGAAGTGACCAGTACCTCGTCGGTGACATCAAGCCTGTTAGTCAGATCAGAGCAGTCCCGAGCTTGGCCCGTGGTGTACTTGCCTTGCATCTCCTCAAGTAGCTGGTCAGAAAATTTATGTAACTGTCAAAATTCATTTCTGACCACTCACGTGAAAATAACAACAACTGTGTTTTGATCTATTGAGTAAGAATAAACCACCTTTTGATAATTCTCTGTTTGACCACCCATCTGTTCAATCTGCTCAGCCATTGCCTACAAACAGAGCAAAAGATGGATCATATTAGGACATGAGTAAGGAGGTTACCATGTCCTTTTTAGGTCAGAGGAACAATTGTGGTCAGAAACTCAATACCTTTTTTTTGATAGTATCTCTCTTTTGGCATATAAACACCAATTTTTCTCACGGGAAGCATAGACCTCTAAAAGACAAGCCAAGAAAGCACATAAGTAGTAGACAACAGAGGAGTCAGAGTAGAAGACGTTGTAGCGAGTTAACTGATTAATGTGCTGAGTGTGTGGAAAGTAGAGCCACCCCCTCTGTGTTATTCTATATACGACTACAGTGAGAATGTCTCTTACCCGCATGAGGGTAAGTCGTTCTAATTTCACCATCGCGCGTGGTCCTTTATCAAGGCAGATGTCATCATTTTTCTGGTTAAAGCTGTCAAAAAGAAAAAGTACAAAGAGTACGAACATGAAGTTCTGGTTTTTCAATGGAGGTGGTAAAAAAAACTGAATGACTCCAGGAAAATCAGTAGAAAGACAATACCTCTGGTTTGCTCCTAATATGCTTTGCCCCTGTGTGCGTAATCTAGAGCACTTAAGGTCTCCTCGAGACCAGTGAACAGCAGGTGAAAGTGTTGCAATGATACATGTCTTTTTGTTCTCCCACCCAAGTGAATCACCTAGCTTACTATCCCTACAATTCTCCAAGATGTAATTATAAGATTCAGCATACCTTGATACACTGGTACATGATCACTAACATAAAGCAAAAGACCCCAGAAAAGAGCTCAAACCTGGAAGGAATGTGTCCAAGATTTTTATACCAGAGCACTGATCACTCGCCCTAAATGTAAGAAGAACTTTTGTTTATTTCACCAGCCTCTCTGGAGCAAAGTGAGGATTTCCTGAAGCAGTAACTCCACTCGTTAGTCAGATCCGCTACAAGCTTCTCCGAGTCAGATTTTGACTGAGCGCATGCCAGTTTAGCACGAAAGCTTGAGCATGGTGAAGAATCGCTTTGTCATCTCGAAGGTCTGCAAATACCAAAGATTTCACATGACCAAACAAAACTTTGTAAGAAAGGTTAAAGAACATGAACACCGAGTTTGATTACCAAGTTTTGTTCTAACGAAGATAATGGGAACACCGGGAGCAATAATGCCTGAGCTCAGCAATCGACTGAGAGAGAGAAGCATAGTCCTGAAAATCCACGGTTTATCGTAACACAACCACACTAGCTTCACGATCATCACCTAGCTTCAACGAAATGGCCTAAAATCAGTGCATGTTCTAGAGAAAAAATTGAAACGGCACATTACCTGGCGAAGAATACAAGCCGTTGTGGTTCTGTCCGTTGACGAAGAGAAAGAAGAAGAAGAGAAGATAAGAAGAAGAGAAACGGAAGAAGAGAAGAGAAAGAAAGACATGATCGAGAAAAAGAAAAGAAGAGAAGTCGATTAAGACTTTTACTGAGGGCGGCACAGTAGATTTCCGACGATTCCGGCGGAGACACAGTATTTTCCCGGCGATTTCGGCGGAGACACAGTATTTCCGCGCGATTTCGGCGAGACACAGACGGGGGCCGAAGAGCACTGAAAAGTTTCTGTAGACCGATGACGGCGAGAATGGTAAGAGAGCTTATCGCCACCGATTTTCCAGTCTGCGATCTTCTCCTTCTCAGACTCCTTTTTGTTGAACTCCTTTCCTTCGCTTTCTTCGTGAGCGGCTTCAATATCCACTAAAGGAAACTTCAATGTGAACTTCTGAGACTTTCTTACGTGTTGTAGTCCGCTTGCTGAGCTCTAATGGTGGTGGACGCATGGCTTTCATCACAGAAATCCTGAAACAGATTGTCAAAATCAAACAAAAAAAATCGCTCTGTGAGAGTTGTTGGCGGGGAAACGGAGGGAAAACAAATGAATCCTTTCTTTGATTATTTTTGAAAATTAAATTAAAATGGCAAAACTCAAGAAGAGATTTGGGCTTCTCGGAACCATTGGGCTGTTTCAAATTTAAAAACCTAATTGTTGTTTCTTTTTTTCTTTTCAATCGGTGTTCTTCTTCGCTCAGTTTGCTACTACGTGGCGTTTTGTTTTCCACATTTCGCCTCATCTTTGCCGGATCCAGCAGCATCTCCTCAAGGGTTCTTCGTCACAGGTAATTAAATTCCTTCTGGAATTAAATTAATAAGGACTGGCACAAGATCGATAATTTTGTACATAAACATCTCATTTTTTTTGACAAAAAAAAAAAAAAGAATATAAACATAAAAATTTTGTTTTTAGTGGAACTATTTGGTGACTTTTCCCTGAAGTGAAATCTAATACTTATCGTCTAAGCTGTTCTTAGATTACGAAAAGGACCCTATCCTACATTTTTTTGCAAATCGTGAATCTTGATGATTTCATTTCGTTACACACAAATCTCGATGTTTTCTCAAGCTCGTTGAGTGTTATTGTACTTACCTTTAGAAATGTTTATCTGTTGCAATGAAGAAGTTACATTTTGGGGGTTGATTTCTATCTTTAGGCGATAAAGGAAATTGTTAATTGTTTGTGGTTTTACTTTGTCTGGTTCTATGAAATGGATACTTTCTATTAGATGGCTCACTGAGAGGATTATTGTTATGTGTCATCAGTTGAACTTCGAGAAGTCAGAAGCTATTGTTGATCTTCTAAAGTTGCCGATAATACGGAGCAATTTATGTTGCTGTTTCAAGGTAATTCTACATCGAAACCACCAGCTTCATATGCTTGTTCTTTGTTGATCGAAACTATTTCTTCCCCAAAATTGACCTCTTTCTATTGTGTTTTTCTTCCTTCACCACAAATCAAGGTGAAAACACATCTCCAAAGAAGTATTTTGTAAGACCCACGCACGGTGTCATACATCCATGCGGACTCCTGCGCATCATTAAGGTGACCAGTGATTTCTGTTATAACTCTTCTATCTTCATTATATTGGGGTAGTATCCTTCCATCTACTATGCAGTGCAAAGAGAATTTTCTCCTTCAGGAGTGACTCATTGTTACCCTCCACAACCATACTGATGTGGATGGAGACCGCCACAGGACACATGCAAGTCTCCCGAAAAACATGAGTTTTTACTTTCGCATTTTTGTGGGCTGAAAACTATATTGACGTGCTGATAGCGCATTGTTGGCTTCGATGCTCGTGTTGGTTATAGTTTAACCAAGGGTACTTATTCGAGGTAAGTGCAGTCTACTATCAGTGTAATGCTCAATGTGTCTCGTATATTACTTTGACCTCCCGTCTACCAACTCCAAAGATCCTACGAATCTGATGCAACCATGGCGACGGAAATGTCTCCGTGAAACCATTCACTGGTTCTGTGAGTACGGCATCCTGATGTTATTTAATCTGGCATCGTGTACAAGTGCCTGTCCCTTGTTTTATAATATGATCTAATCGTCGCGCTCATTGTGGTGGCTTTTCGTGTGCTTTTGTCGTGTTTGGCGTACTTGCAATTTATTGATCATAGCAGAAGCCTTAGATTAGTGTAAGATTCGCTATTGGATACCAATATTAACTTATGACCCTCTCGCAATAGATAGGCCTCCTTTATTTTGTGAAATAACTATAAACAACTTAGTTTGCATTCAGTTTACATGCTTGCGTCATTAGCGGGTGGTCCTTAATATGTAATCCCCCCGATTTGGTAGCTTTTGCTTCCAGTCTCTTTTCCCTCACTCAGCCTCAGAGGCGTGTAAACTTTTGCACCAGTAGTGTTGATTGCAGGTTTATGGCGCTTACCGGCGGCGTTGCATGCACACTCTTTGCCGTCAATTGATGTTACCACCACAGCTAAATCGCCGTCCCTCCGGCAGGATGAGAAGTTCAATGTAAGGGCTTTTGAAGACTTTATCTTCCTTGTATTTAATGACTTTTGGCCTGTTGTGGAGTTTTCGGCATGATGGTTTTATGTTACTATGCTAAGCGCCCTTCTTTCAGGTCGTTTGGGCAAATGGCTATCCCTTCACAAGGATGATTTACCGCTTTACCATTGGGTAGTTCCTTTATCTGTGCAACGCCAATTGCATGGTCGCTTGAGCTTTCCTCTTTTCTTAATTATGATCAATAGCTTCCAACGGGTTAGAGTGATTAATATGGTGTTCCACTCACATGTGATTTAGGTCCGTTTGCCAAAATACAACGTGGTATTTATATATGGCCTTGATGGTTTAACTCTTTCTTTCTTTTGCGCACGTTTTTTTGCTTCTTCGGATGTCAAAATTCCGCGTCTTAAAATGTCAAAATTGCGTCAGTTGAATATCTCTCCTCCATCATCTAGTTCTCAACTTCCCTGCAACTGCGACTATGGGCAGATTATTGCAATCTTATCCTTTCGTGTTATCTGAAAGAGAACATCTCTCTAAAAGCTTAGAACATCAGGAGAAGATAGATGCTGAGGTTTGTCAATTTCATTTTGATTTAACAGTCAACCATAAAAACAGAAGATAGTTTATTTGCTTGCTCTTACACCCGTCTCCCATAACTACAGGTTCTTGCTGGGGGGGAAAAAGGCTTAAAGAATCCACAGAGATGCCGTTTAGCTGCACGTGTAAGTTGTTGACTGAAAATCAAATATCTCACTCATACTAACTAAATCACAGTAATTGAAATTTGCTTACCCAATTTATTGGAAGATACACTTTTTAACCTTGGACGCATGTCGAGAAACTCTCTTATCAACATCTTGTCTCTAACACGATTGTTCTTTCTGGCTGTCCCACGTGACGAAGTGAGACTGATGTGGTCCGCGAATGAAAAGATTGTTAGCTGATGGGGTAGTTTCCAGTGGCGTAGTGTATCTTCATCAATCTAGTTCTCAACTCCCTGCAACTGCTTTGGACATCCATCGAACTGCCTACTAATGGCAGATTATGCCTCTAAAACCCTTGCGTCTCTGCCGCATGGGCGAGTGTCTCTCTGTTCTTATCTCCCTTTTTTTTTTTTTTTTTTTTTTTTTTTGTGTCTCCAACTAATCTGATTTCGTGTTGGTGAATCTGTCAAAATTTCAGCTTCATGTATACTTGAGAGCCTATGGCCTTGAGCAAATGGTCCAAGCTGCAACGCTCTTGCTGTTTGGTGCTTCGAACGATTCAACAGCAGACCGTCGGTGTTTTGTTTTTTGGCTTCTTCCTCTGCTTAACTGTAATCTGTTTTTGTTTACTGTGAGTTGCTTATCTTCCCCCTCCCCATTGACTGATGAATAATGACTTATAAAGGCAGTCTCACTCAAGCTAGGCTTTGAATGTCTTCTACTACTAACCTATGGGATTTTGGGTTTGTTAGAGGCTAGGTCTATATGATTGGGCTACTGTTTAAGGTTTGCCAATGGATTTTGAGCATGTGGAGAGTTTTTCTGTTTACAGGTTTAATTTAATGCCAAAAGTTTTCTACAAAAAAACTGTTTGTGAATGAGCATCTTGAGTTTACGAAAAGAAACAAAATTTAAACACTGTTGAATCCTCAGAAGCAGTTTGTTGAATCCTCATAGATTTACAAAATATACAACTACTTCTGTTCCTCTCTTTTCTAACTTGTCTCCTTTATATTGCGTGGTTTTTGATGGTCGTAATTTCAGCTAAAATGTCACTCGCTCGCAATTTTCATTGTATGTATGTATTTACCCATTTTAAAAGATTCGTCTGGATTTTCGTGTTCGGATCTTTCCTCCTTCTTTTGTCGACAAAAGAGTCCCAGAATAGTTTCCATGTTTCTTCCTTCAATCTGATTTGATAAAATTAGTCAAACGTTTCCTTCCTTTTTCCATTGTCTTTATTTTCCTCCATATATTTGGTAAACAGTAAAGTAAAAATGTAAAAGTGAAAAGAATATATTTATATAAAAGCTACTGAATGGTAGATAACTAGATATCCTCGACTGGACGTCTGATCATATAATCGTTTGTAGAACAAACTTATATTGTCTGGGAATGGAGTATCGTTTTTTCTGATTATTTTGCATTAGTCGTATTTTGTTACATTTGTTTTATACCATTGAAATACCATTGCATATTCTTTATTGAATTGGCTTGTAACCCCATATTTTTCAACAATATAATACCAATTACAAAACGATAACAACTATCTCTTCTATAAAACAATTTAAAATTGTACGATTTTTTTATGCCTTAGATGCAACATAAAATTGAATTTTTTATGCTTTAGTCATGCAACATAAAATGCATGATTACTATAAAAAAAAAAAAAAACGCATAAATTTATATGATATGTAAAATGCCAAAAAATTATCAGTCTCGCACATTTTTCTAGTGAAAGCTACAGTAATCCCTTGACTTTGATATTTTCATTTACAAATTAATTACTTTATGGGACAGTGATGTAAGTAGGTGTAAGAGTTTATTTGGTCCCTAATACTGCAGGCTTGTTTGAAGTTCCTGTCTATGCCTGAAAGTGTACAATGGTACTGCTCGAGCTCTCTAAAAGCGCCAGCAAGCGAAATTGGTGTCTGTGCCTTCTGCAGGTTGGTCACGGGCATTCCCCTAGTCAAATAAATTAAAACTTTAAGTGACGGCTGTGAAAAATGTGAATACATGTGACTCAAAACCACTGCGATAGGCACTTTTGATTACTCTTCAGGGACCTGATAAACTCTGATCATACAAATTACCTATGTTTGACATCGGAATATTTGATGATAGGACTGTTATTCTCTGTGAGCAGGTTTCCTCTAATCTCTCTTGTGATTATATATCTCAGAGCACCATTTGACCAACATGCCTTTCAGGTTAGTGATGATTATTTAAAACTCTTCGCTCATCACTTGCTGCTTTTAGAGCAGTACGGTCGTCCCATTGTTAGTGCATTGTCTCAGTGATCTAGTTCAACATGTTCCCTTGAGTTTTGGGGGCTTCCGTAAATGAGAAGAGAACTAATAATATATATGTATGCACAAAACACAAAAACAAAAAGAGAGTAGATGTTGTTTGTTTTTGGGCTGCTCTAGACATGCCTTGTATCTTGTGCTTGTAAACTCTATGACTTAATTAAGTAGGTGATGCTTGTAACTGTATCTTGTTGTATGGACTGTTGAACTGTAACGAGAGGTTCATTTCTCTAGTCTTTAGTTCGTAATCCAGACAACAGTATAGGATGCCTGAGTCGCTATGATGTCTATTACTTTTGGGACACAGGTGGATTTCTGCTCGCTTTGTCTGATTCCTGTCCAAGGATCACTAAAATCTTGTCAAGCAACCTGTTTACGGAGAATGGCGAGGCAACCCCTTTTTGAGGTTTTTTTTTTAACCTGAATATGCAGAAAAGACAGTGAGAAAATGGAATATTTACAGTGAAATGGAGGATACTTAGTGGAAAAGTCGATACCCAGATACTTGGACCAGCGGCTGTAATCTTCAGGGTAGACTTCAGATGTGTGCCAGTTTTATCTTTTGGTTAGATGTTTTGATCAATTTTCTCTTTTATAGAACAAACATGCAGCCTAATGCTCGTATGGTCGTAATCTCATTCCTGTCATGCCGTATGGGTTAGTTATGACGTGATAATACTGATCATGGAGTTGATTCGTATCGTAATTCTTATGGCATATCTACAGGAGAAGTATACATCATAGTCCTGATTGTAAAGTATGTTTGCTGCTGTTAATGCATGTTCTCTTCCTCTTCATTTTTGATTTATGTACTCTTACAACTTCTCTGTGTGCGTGTAGTTCTCTTCTTGTTTCTGCTTGCGCTGCTGAGAATTTCTGGTCAGCAGGCTGCTGAACACTTGCTCCTATTGTTTGTAGCCACAAGCAGAGAGAACCGAGCAAGGGTAAAGTGTCTCTAAAACAGTGTTGTCTCGATATAGAGTTTATTGTAATAAAATTCTTTCGTTTGCTTTATGGTTGTTGGAGGTTATTGAATGAAGAGTGACTCACAATAACTACTTTGCTGAGTAGATCTCAACACTTGAATGAACCAGATTTTAAAGTTGCTATTAGCTTTAAAAGGTTGTTATGGGGTCTTTTACTTACTTAGAATAGAAATAGAGAAAAAGTGTGGGGCATAAATTTTGAAGTATTGAGGAAGTCTACAGAGAAGTGTACATATTGTCCTGATTGTAAAAGTATGTTTTGCTGCCTTTAATGCACGTTCTCTTGTCCTCTTTATTTTTGATTTATGTACTCTTACAACTTCTCTGTGTGCGTGTAGTTTCTCTTGTTGTTTTTGCTGGCGCTGCTGAGAATTTTCTGGTCAGCAGGCTGCTGAAACTTGCTCCTATTGTTGTAGCCAACAAGCAGAGTCCTACCGAGCAAGGGTAAAGCCTCTGTTCACCCCATTTATGTGTAAATGGTCTCTAGGGCCCTACTGTTTGAGTGTGGAGAATCTTCTTTCGTCTCTACATGTTAGGAACCTCGTCCTTCCGAGTCTACATGGACACATAAGTTTGGCTTTACAAAAGATGACTGAGCAGAAAGTAAGTGAAGAAAAACGTTCTCTTGGGATCGTTATTATGTTATTATTTGCTATGGAATTGTGTTTTGTTAGATTTTTTTAGTACATTCATTCACAAAAGTGGGCACGTCTAAAATAGTTTCTAGAGAATCATGCCTATTTATATATATTTTGGCTTAAGTAGCAAAGATGGTAGCAGACAGTTAAAATAGTGTTTTGCAGAAGGAAGTGCAGCTTACAATCGTTAAAGGGACCTCAATGCTGGAGAAGAGAGAGTTTATTAGAATCACAGCTCCATCTGGATCTTTTAAAAAGGTTCGTCTGGATTTTTTGGTGTTCGGATCTTTCCTCTCTTTTTTTTTTTTTTTTTTTTTTTTTTTGTTTCCTTTTTGGGTGCTTTGGTTCTCGTGTCTGAAAAATAGATGATTAGGTCGACAAAAGGTGTCACACAACAGTTCCACCTTTGTAAAGACCAAAGGGGAACAGTACTCATAAGGATTTTTGTAAGAACTAGTGGGGAACTTATATATATGTATTTATGGTTTGAGCATTTTGTCCTCAAAGCCGCCTCAGTTAACATCATTCAAATCACTCTCGTCACAGATTTGCTGGGTGTTTTTTTGGTCTGGTTGCAGCTAGAGTGATCACAGACAGGGAGACCGGAGATCAAAGGGTTCTGTTTTGTGACGTATGCAACAACAGAAGATGCAGCAGGAGGAGCGTCGGCGTTTGTTTCTCTAGGGTTCAAAAGCTTAATGTTCGATTCCAGAACAAAACAGTACAAAAATCTGCAGCTTCCCCTGATGTCGTAGCCCGGCGATTGTTCTAAAAAGATGATGTGCATGCCTCCCCTCAAGCTTCCCCATCTTTCTTCGCGCCTAAGTGTCTCTTCTCTCATTCTCCATCTCTTCCCCTTTTTCCTATCTCTATGTGTTTTTGGTCTCCGGATTATGCAAGAAAAACATACAAACTTTGGGTTTTTTTTGTTTTGTTTTCATGTCTCAGACTTTTTATGGTGTCTTCCCGGAGGTATGTCTTGGTGTCTCTTTGTTCTCCTCATATCTTTCAACATTGTTCCCGTTTGCTACTTAAAATGAATCCACAGGAAGTGCTCAAAAGGCTTGTTCGGTTGCAAGTGCTCTGATGAAATTGCATAACACCCGGTTAAAGGTTTTGCAGAAAGAGCTTCTCCAAGAACTTCCAACACTAGTCAACTCGATGTCAGACTCCTGTTCCTTTCTCTCTAGTATAATCTTTTTTTCTTTCTCTCTCTCAGCTCCTTGAGTCACAGTCTGCACACTTTATATATCATCCTCATTATCCAGATCAGTTTTTGATATACAGGGCAGTTTCTGTTGCTACAGCAATCACGACCACAACGGATCTTGTACGCAAGAGCGTGGCAGTTGAATCACATGTAGTCTCAAGAAACTCAGTTGTGCTCTGTTTCTTGCAAAATTTTCATATAAGATTTGACATTTCTCAGGTCGGAGGAACCACAATTCGAGTTTGGGGGTGTGGCAAAAAGGCCTCCGGGATGATCCATCCAAGTATTGGCAACCTCCTGAGACTGTGACCATGGCCAAGAGACAGGGTTTCATGTACTGTCTGTTGTGTTATGATCTCAATTTGTAAACTATTTTGGCTTCATATTAAAGTTGATTTATCATACTTGATACAAATGCAAAATGCACACAAAAACAAAAAACAATTGTTAATTTGTAGTAATATAAATAAACTTTTTTAACGTATGTATGGCCTTAATTTTGTATTGATAAAACTAAAAAATGTTGTACAAGTCAAAAGAAAGAAGAGGCATCTGGTGGATGGGTAATTTTGTAACAGTATATATATATATTTTTTTTTTTTTTGTCGTCTTTATAATATTTGAAACCCAAAAAGGGTAAAGCAGAGGTTACAAAACTTTTCGCAGGCCCGTAAATGAGAGAGAGCTTGGGATAAAGTTTCTTTAAAGAGTGAAGAGAGTAAGTAATGTTACTTTACTATGCTGTGAGGAACAACTTACCATGTATCGTGCTGGTCGTTATCACAAGCAGAGTTAACGAGTAAAGGGAAGACACATCTGCGACTTGCTTGCTGTTGAGAGATTCATGCGTTAAGTTGCAGTGTTTGAAAGCTAACTCCGCATGACCCACACTAACGCATAGAAGGATACAAAAGGGTTAAAAACGCATTACTGAAAGATTGTATGTAACTCAAGAATTGCAAAAAAAACCACTGCAATGATTCTTACGATTGCTGAAGCAGCAACTCCATTCGACAGTGTTTTGCAGCCGAGAAATCAGCACCTTCTCTGGCGTCATTCTCAGCTTGCATGGAAACTGTCTCCCACTTTCTCTTTGCGTCATCAGTCAGATTATGTACGACAGAGACGTGTCATCCGAGAACGTTTTTCGTTGGAAGAAGACGGCATCTTTAAAGCTGTGGAGTCTTGAATCCACCTGCCACGAGAAAAACAATACAGTTTCGTGTATCATGCAGTGGAAGACAAAATGAAATCGATGAAAGAAGAAGCAACGAACCAATTCAGTAATGAAAGACAATCTCAGTGCACTAACCCAGTCTCAATTCCCCGGCAAAGAGAGCCATTTCTCCTGAAGCAAGAGCATTCTGAAGTTCATCACATAACGACGGTGTTGTCCCATCCCCGGAAGCAAGAAACTGAAACCGGCAAGAAAACCAGTTTTAGAACACACCAAAAGTCACAACGACAAGGAAAGAAATCAAGAAAGGCATCAATGGAACTTGCACTCGAGGTCGCCAATGCTGAAACTTCCTCGAGGCAAGCACTCGAGTTTGGCTTGTGCAAGCGGACTACATTCTGCACTGCCTCCAAGTGAGAAGTAAATATATCCCTTGAAGCTCGAACCAGAATGGCCTGGACAAGCAAATTTGCAAAATAATGTTACAAAGTTAAGAGACTCTACTATTACAACATTAACAACTTCTAAATTCAGACAAGAAAATCTTCATTGGTAAATAGAAAACCAAAGAATAAAACAGTTGATACCTTGTTGTGCGCTTCTAAACGAGATTGGGACAGTTTGTTAACACCCTGAAGGTGTGCATTTTGCTGGGACAGACATGAAGCAACCTTACTGAACATATTGGAGAAATGTTCAGAAAAAAGTTCTACTTGATAATTGTCCACCACTTTTCTGTTATCCGCACTGAGCTTGTCCTCTCTCCCTGCAGAGCGCCAAATTGATTTTATAACAACAATTCTTGTGAAACGGAAGCAAGTTAGAGACAAGACAACTTTTCAAGCACTTGGGTTAGAGTAATGTTTTTCGAACATACCAGCTTTTTTCTGCTCTGAAGTAATGAAATCTTTCTCCTTCATGGCATATTGAGATTTCTTCAGTTCCTCGTTGGTGGAAGCAAGCATCTTGCTCGTTTGGCTCAGCTTTTTTCTAGGTAGCACAATTGAAGTCTCAGAGAATAGTGATATAGTTATAAAGCACAAATGCAGGAAGTGACCAGTACCTCGGTGACATCAAGCCTGTTAGTCAGATCAGAGCAGTCCCGAGCTTGGCCCGTGTACTTGCCTTGCATCTCCTCAAGTAGCTGGTCAGAAAATTTATGTAACTTCAAAAATTCATTTCTGACACTCACGTAAATAACAACAACTGTGTTTTGATCTATTGAGTAAGAATAAACCAACCTTTTGATAATTCTCTGTTTTGACCACCCATCTGTTCAATCTGCTCAGCCATTGCCTACAAACAGAGCAAAAGAGGGATCATATTAGTACATGAGTAAGGAGGTTACCATGTCCTTTTAGGTCAGAGGAACAATTGTGGTCAGAAACTCAATACCTTTTTTTGATAGTATCTCTCTTTTGGCATATAAACACAATTTTTCTCACGGGAAGCATAGACCTCTAAAAAAGACAAGCCAAGAAAGCACATAAGTAGTAGACAAGCAGAGGAGTCAGAGTAGAAGACGTTGTAGCGAGTAAACTGATTAAGCTGAGTGAAAGTAGAGCCACCCCTCTAATTATTCTATATACGACTACAGTGAGAATGTCTCTTACCCGCCTTAAGTCGTTCTATTTCACCATAAAGGTCCTTTATCAAGCAGATGTCATCATTTTCTGGTTAAGCTGCCAAAAAAGAAAAGTACAAAGAGTACGAACATGAATTCTGGTTTTTCAATGGAGAAAAGAAACTGATGACTCCGAAAATCTTAAAAGACAATACCTCTGGTTTGCTCCTAATATGCTTTGCCCTGTGTGCGTAATCTAGAGCACTTAAGGTCTCCTCGAGACAGTGAACAGCAGGTGAAAGTGTTGCAATGATACATGTCTTTGTTCTCCCACCAAGTGAATCACCTAGCTTACTATCCCTACAATTCAGTCCAAGATGTAATTATAAGATTCAGCATACCTTGATACACTGGTACATGATCACTAACATAAAGCAAAAGACCCCAGAAAAGAGCTCAAACCTGGAAGGAATGTGTCCAAGATTTTCTACCAGAGCACTGATCACTCGCCTAATGTAAGAAGACTTTTGTTTATTTCACCAGCTCTCTGGAGCAAAGTGAGGATTTCCTGAAGCAGTAACTCCACTCGGTTAGTCAGATCCGCTACAAGCTTTCTCCGAGTCAGATTTTGACTGAGCGCATGCCAGTTTAGCACGAAGCTTGAGCATGGTGAAGAATCGCTTGTCATCTCGAAGGTCTGCAAATACCAAAGATTCACATGACCAAAACAAAACTTTGTAAGAAAGGTTAAAAGAACATGAACACCGAGTTTGATTACCAAGTTTTGTTCTAACGAAGATAATGGGAACACCGGGAGCATAATGCCTGAGCTCAGCAATCGACTGAGAGAGAGAAGCATAGTCCTGAAAATCCACGGTTTATCTTAACACAACCACACTAGCTTCACGATCATCACACTAGCTTCAACGAAATGGCCTAAATCGCATTCTAGAGAAAAATTGAAACGGCACATTACCTGGCGAAGAATACAAGCCGTTGTGGTCTGTCCGTTGACGAAGAGAAGAGAAGAAGAAGAGAAGAGAAGAAGAAGAGAAACGAAGAAGAGAAGAGAAGAAGACATGATCGAGAAAAAGAAAAGAAGAGAAGTCGATTAAGACTTTTACTGAGGCGGCACAGTATTTTCCGACGATTCCGGCGGAGACACAGTATTTCCCGGCGATTTCGGCGGAGACACAGTATTTCCCGGCGATTTCGGCGGAGACACAGACGGCCGAAGAGCACTGAAAAGTTTCTGTAGACCGATGACGGCGAGAATGGTAAGAGAGCTTATCGCCACCGATTTCCAGTCTGCGATCTTCTCCTTCTCAGACTCCTTTTTGTTGAACTCCTTTCCTTCGCTTTCTTCGTGAGCGGCTTCAATATCCACTAAAGGAAACTTCAATGTGAACTTCTGAGACTTCTTACGTGTTGTAGTCCGCTTGCTGAGCTCTAATGGTGGTGGACGCATGGCTTCATCACAGAATCCTGAAACAGATTGTCAAAATCAAACAAAAAAATCGCTCTGTGAGAGTTGTTGGCGGGGACGGAGGGAAAACAAATGAATCCTTTCTTTGATTATTTTTGAAAATTAAATTAAAATGGCAAAACTCAAGAAGAGATTTGGGCTTCTCGGAACCATTGGGCTGTTTCAAATTTAAAAACCTAATTGTTGTTTCTTTTTTCTTTTCAATCGGGTTTCTTCGCTCAGTTGCTACTACAGTGGCGTTTGTTTCCACATTTCGCCTCATCTTTGCCGGATCCAGCAGCATCTCCTCAAGGGTTCTTCGTCACAGGTAATTAAATTCCTTCTGGAATTAAATTAATAAGGAACTGGCACAAGATCGATAATTTTGTACATAAACATCTCAATTTTTTTGACAAAAAAAAAAAAGAATATAAACATAAATTGTTTTAGACTATTTGGTGACTTTTCCTGAAGTGAAATCTATACTTATCGTCTAAGCTGTTCTTAGATTAGAAAGGACCCTATCCTAAGTTTTTTTGCAAATCGTGAATCATTGATTTCATTTCGTTACACCAAATCTCGATGTTTTCTCAAGCTCGTTGAGGTTATTGTACTTACCTTAGAAAATGTTATCTGTGCAATGAAGAAGTACATTTTGGGGGTTGATTCTCTAGGCGATAAAGGAAATTGTTGTTTTGTGTTTACTTTGTCTGTTCTATGAAATGGATACTTTCTATTAGATGCTCATGAGAGGATTATTGTTATTGTATCAGTTGAACTCGAGAAGCAAAGCTATTGTGATCTTAAAGTTGCCAATAAAACAGAGCATTATGTTGCTTTCAAGGTAATTCTACATCAAACCACCCAGCTTCATATGCTTTCTTTGTGATGAAACTATTTCTTCCCCAAAATTGACTTCTTCTATTGTGTTTTCTTCCTTCACCAAATCAGGTGAAAACAACATCTCCAAAGAAGTATTTTGTAAGACCCAACACTGGTGTCATACAGCCATGGGACTCCTGCATCATTAGAGGTGACAGTGATTCTTTATAACTCTATCAGTTATTGGTAGTATCCTCCAGATATGCAGTGCAAAGACAAGTTTCTCCTTCAGAGTACCATTGTACCTCCACACACTGATGTGGATGAACTTCCACAGGACACAGCAAGTCTCCCGATAAAACATGATTTTTATTTCGCATTTTTGGGGAAAACTATATTGACGTGAAATTTGCGATGCCTGTGTATAGTTTACCAAGGACAGCGGGAAAACATTAACAGAGTGTAAGCTCAAGGTCTCGTATATTACTCCGTCTACAACTCAAAGATCCTCTGAATCTGGAGCAACCAATGGCGACGGAAATGGCTCTGAAACCATCACTGTCTGTGAGTACTGCATCCTGATGTTATTTAATCTGCATGTGGTAATGACTTCCTGTAAATGATCTTAACCGCATTGTTTGGTCGTGTGCGGTAACCAATTATGATCATAGCAGAAGCCTTAGAGTAGGACGATTCTCTATGTGATACCAATATATACTATGGACCTCTCGCATAGATAGGTCTCCTTTATTTTGTGATAACTATACAAACTAGTTTCATTCAGTTTACATGCTTGCTTCATTTAGTGGTCCTTAATATGTAAATCGATTTGAGCTTTTGCTTCCTTTCTTTCTCGCCTCGAGGTTTAATTTTTCACCGTAGTTGTTGAATTGCAGGTTTATGCGCTTACCGGCGGCGTTGCACCTCTTTTGCCTTCAATTGATGTTACCACAGCTAAAGCGCCGTCCTCCGGCAGATGAGAAGGTCAAATTTAAGGGCTTTTGAGACTTTATCTTCTTGTTTTATGACTTTGCCTGTTTTGAGTTTCGGCATGATGGTTATGTTACTATGCTAAGCGCCCTTCTTTCAGGTCGTTTGGCAATGGCTTCCCTTCACAAAGATGATTTACAGCTTTACCATTGGGTAAGTTCCTTATCTGTGCAACGCCATTGCATGAGCGCTTGAGCATTTCCTCTTTTCTTATTAATGATCTATATCTTCAAAGGTTAGAGTGGTTAATGGTGTTCCACCAACAGGTGATTATTCGTTTGCCAAATACAACGGGGTATTTATTATATGGCCTTGATGGTTTAAACTCTTCTTTCTCCGTTTTTTTTGCTTCTTCTGATGTCAAAATTCCCATCTTAATGTCAAAATTGCAGTCAGTTGATATCTCTCTCCATCATCTAGTTCTCAACTTCCCTGCAACTGCTACTATGGCAGATTATGCAATCTATCCTTGCGTGTTATCTGAAGAGAACATCTCTCTAAAAGCTTAGACATCAGGAGAAGATAGATGCTGAGGTTTGTCACTTTAATTTTGATTAAACAGGCAACCAAAAAACAGAAGATAGTTATTTGCTTTCTCTTACCCGTCTCCCATAACTACAGGTTCTTGCTGAGGCTAAAAGAATCACAGAGATGCGTTTAGCTGCACGTGTAAGTGTTGACTTAAAATCAATATCTCACTCATACTAACTAAATCACAGTAGTTGAAATTTGCTTACCATTATTGAAGATACACTTTTTAACCTTGGACGCATATCAGAACTCTCTTATCAACATCTTGTCTCTAACACTATTGTTCTTTCTGGCTGTCCAGCGTGCGGAAGGAGACTGATGTGTCCGCGAATGAGAATATTGGTAGCTGATGGGGTAGTTCCAGGGCGTAGTGTATCTTCATCATCTAGTTTCTCAACTCCCTGCAAACTGCTGTGGATCCATCAACTGCTACTATGGCAGATTATGCCTCTACCCTTGCTTCTTTGCGCATGGCGAGTGTCTCTCTGTTCTTATCTTTCCTTTTTTTTTTTTTTTTTTTTTTTTTTGTGTCTCCAACTATCTGATTCTTGTTGGTGAATCTGTCAAATTTTCAGCTTCATGTATACTTGAGAGCCTATGGACTTGAGCAAATGGTCCAAGCTGCAAGCTCTGCTGTTGGTCTTCGAACGATTCAAGCAAGACCTCGGGGTTTGTTTTTGCTTCTTCCTCTGCTTAACTGTATCTGTTTTTGTTACTGTAAGTTGCTTATCTTCCCCCCCCCCCCCCCCCCCCCTCCCCCCCCCCCCCCCCCCCCCCCCCCCCCCATTGACTGATGAATAATGACTTATAAAGGCAGTCTCACTCAAGCTAGGCTTTGAATGTCTTCTACTACTAACCTATGGGGATTTTGGGTTTGTTAGAGGCTAGGTCTATATGATTGGGGCTACTTTTAAGGTTTGCCAAATGGATTTTGAGCATGTGGAGAGTTTTCTGTTTACAGGTTTAATTTAATGCCAAAAGTTCCTACAAAAACTGTTTGTGATGAGCATCTTGAGTTACGAAAAGAAAATTTTAACACTGTTGAATCTTCAGAAGCAGTTTGTTGAATCCTCATAGATTTACAAATATACAACTACTTCTGTTTCTCTTTTTCTAACTTGTCTCCTTTATATTGCGTGGTTTTGATGGTCGTAATTTCAGCTAAAATGTCACTCGCAATTTTCATTGTATGTATGTATTTACCCTTTAAAAAGATTCGTCTGGATTTTCGTGTTCGGATCTTTCCTCTTCTTTTGTCGACAAAAGAGTCCCAGAATAGTTCCATGTTTCTTCACTTCATCTGATTGATAAATTAGTCAACGTTCCTTCCTTTTTCCATTGTCTTTATTTTCCTCCAATATTTTGTAACAGTAAAGTAAAAATGTAAAAGTGAAAAGATATATTTATATAAAAGCTACTGAATGGTAGATAACTAGATATCCTCGACTGGACGTCTGATCATATAATCGTTTGTAGAACAAACTTATTGTCTGGGAATGGAGTATCGTTTCTGATTATTTTGCATTAGTCGTATTTGTTACATTTGTTTTATACCATTGAAATCCATTGCATATTCTTTATTGAATTGGCTTGTAACCCCATATTTCAACAATATAATACCAATTACAAAACGATAACAACTATCTCTTCTATAACAACAATTTAAAATTGTACGATTTTTTATGCCTTAGATGCAACATAAATTGAATTTTTATGCTTTAGATGCAACATAAATGCATGATACTATAAAAAAAAACGCATAAATTTATATGATATGTAAAATGCAAAAAATTATCAGTCTCGCACATTTTCTAGTGAAAGCTACAGTAATCCCTTGATTTTGATATTTTCATTTACAAATTAATTACTTTATGGGACAGTGATGTAAGTAGGTGTAAGAGTTTATTTGGTCCCTAATACTGCAGGCTTGTTTGAAGTTCCTGTCTATGCCTGAAGGTACATGGTACTGCTCGAGCTCTCTAAAGCTCCAGCAAGCGAAATTGGTGTCTGTGCCTTCTGCAGGTTGGTCGCATTCCCCTAGTCAACTTTCTCGGCTGTGAAAAATGTGAATACATGTGCAAAACCACTGCGATAGGCACTTTTGATTACTCTTCAGGACCTGATAAACTCTGATCATACAATACCTATGTTTGACATCGGAATATTTGATGATAGGACTGTTATTCTCTGTGAGCAGGTTCCTCTAATCTCTCTTGTGATTATATATCTCAGAGCACCATTTGACCAACATGCCTTTCAGGTTAGTGATTAGTTTAAACTCTTCGTCTCATCACTTGCTGCTTTTAGAGCAGTACGGTCGTCCATTGTTAGTGCATTGTCTCAGTGATCTAGTTCAACATTGTTCCTTGAGTTTTGGGGGCTTCCGTAAATGAGAGAGAACTAATAATATATATATGCACAAAAAAACAAAAAACAAAAAGAGAGTAGATGTTGGTTGTTTTGGCTGCTCTAGACATGCCTTGTATCTTGTGCTTGTAACTCTATGCTTAATTAAAGTAGGTGATGCTTGTAACTGTATCTTGTTGTATGGACTGTTGAACTGTAACAGAGGTTCATTTCTCTAGTCTTTAGTTCGTATCCAGACAACAGTATAGGATGCCTGAGTCGCTATGATGTCTATTACTTTTGGGACACAGGTGGATTTCTGCTCGCTTGTCTGATTCCTGTCCAAGGATCACTAAAATCTGTCAAGCAACCTGTTACGGAGAATGGCGAGGCAACCCCTTTTTGAGGTTTTTTTTTACCTGAATATGCAGAAAAGACAGAGAAAATGGAATATTTACAGTGAAATGGAGGATACTTAGTGGAAAAAGTCGATACCCAGATACTTGGACCAGCGGCTGTAATCTTCAGGGTAGACTTCAGATGTGTGCCAGTTATCTTTTGGTTAGATGTTTGATCAATTTTCTCTTTTATAGAACAAACATGCAGCCTAATGCTCGTATGGTCGTAATCTCATTCCTGTCATGCCGTATGGGTTAGTTATGACGTGATAATCTGATCATGGAGTTGATTCGTATCGTAATTCTTATGGCATATCTACAGGAGAAGTATACATATAGTCCTGATTGTAAAGTATGTTTGCTGCTGTTAATGCATGTTCTCTTCCTCTTCATTTTTGATTTATGTACTCTTACAACTTCTCTGTGTGCGTGTAGTTCTCTTCTTGTTTCTGCTGCGCTGCTGAGAATTTCTGGTCAGCAGGCTGCTGAACTTGCTCCTATTGTTGTAGCCACAAGCAGAGAGAACCGAGCAAGGGTAAAGTGTCTCTAAAACACTGTCTCGATATAGAGTTTATTGTAATAAAATTCTTTCGTTTGCTTTATGGTTGTTGGAGGTATTGAATGAGAGTGACTCACAATAACTACTTTGCTGAGTAGATCTTCAACACTTGAATGAACCAGATTTAAAGTTGCTATTAGCTTTAAAGGTTGTTATGGGGTCTTTTACTTACTTAGAATAGAAATAGAGAAAAGGGGGCATAAATTTTGAAGTATTGAGGAAGTCTACAGGAGAAGTGTACATATTGTCCTGATTGTAAAGTATGTTTGCTGCCTTTAATGCACGTTCTCTTCCTCTTTATTTTTGATTTATGTACTCTTACAACTTCTCTGTGTGCGTGTAGTTCTCTTGTTGTTTTTGCTGCGCTGCTGAGAATTTCTGGTCAGCAGGCTGCTGAACTTGCTCCTATTGTTGTAGCCACAAGCAGAGTCTACCGAGCAAGGGTAAAGCCTCTGTTCACCCCATTTATGTGTAAATGGTCTCTAGGGCCTACTGTTTGAGTGTGGAGAATCTTCTTTCGTCTCTACATGTTAGGAACCTCGTCCTTCCGAGTCTACATGGACACATAAGTTTGGCTTTACAAAAGATGACTGAGCAGAAAGTAAGTGAAGAAAACGTTCTCTTGGGATCGTTATTATGTTATGATTTGCTATGGAATTGTGTTTTGTTAGATTTTTAGTATTCATTCACAAAAGTGGGCACGTCTAAAATAGTTTCTAGAGAATCATGCCTATTTATATATATTTTGGCTTAAGTAGCAAAGATGGTAGCAGACAGTTAAAATAGTGTTTTGCAGAAGGAAGTGCAGCTTACAATCGTTAAAGGGACCTCAATGCTGGAGAAGAGAGAGTTTATTAGAATCAACAGCTCCCATCTGGATCTTTTAAAAAGGTTCGTCTGGATTTTGGTGTTCGGATCTTTCCTCTCTTTTTTTTTTTTTTTTTTTTTTTTTGTTTCCTTTTTGGGTGCTTTGGTTCTCTTCTGAAAATAGATGATTAGGTCGACAAAAGGTGTCACACAACAGTTCCACCTTTGTAAAGACCAAAGGGGAACAGTACTCATAAGGATTTGTAAGACTAGTGGGGAACTTATATATATGTATTTATGGTTTGAGCATTTTGTCCTCAAAGCCGCCTCAGTTAACATCATTCAAATCACTCTCGTCACAGATTTGCTGTGTTTTGGTCTGGTTGCAGCTAGAGTGATCACAGACAGGGAGACCGGAGATCAAAGGGTTTCTGTTTTGTGACGTATGCAACAACAGAAGATGCAGCAGGAGGAGCGTCGGCGTTTGTTCTCTAGGGTTCAAGCTTAATGTTCGATTTCCAGACCAAAACAGTACAAAAATCTGCAGCTTCCCCTGATGTCGAGCCCGGCGATTGTTCTAAAAAGAGATGCATGCCTCCCTCAAGCTTCCCCATTTCTTCGCGCCTAAGGTCTCTTCTCTCATTCTCCATCTCTTCCCCTTTCCTATCTCTATGTGTTTTGGTCTCCGATTATGCAAGAAAAACATACAAACTTTGGAGTTTTTTTGTTTTGTTTTCATGTCTCAGACTTTTTATGGTGTCTTCCCGGAGGTATGTCTTGGTGTCTCTTGTTCTCCTCATATCTTTCAACATTGTTCCCGTTTGCTACTTAAAATGAATCCACAGGAAGTGCTCAAAAGGCTTGTTCGGTGCAAGTGCTCTGATGAAATTGCATAACCCGGTAAAGGTTTTGCAGAAAGAGCTTCTCCAAGAACTTCCAACACTAGTCAACTCGATGTCAGACTCTGTTCCTTTCTCTCTAGTATAATCTTTTTTTCCTTTCTCTCTCTCAGCTCCTTGAGTCACAGTCTGCAGTTTATATATCATCCTCTTATCCAGATCAGTTTGATATACAGGGCAGTTTCTGTTGCTACAGCAATCACGACAACGGATCTTGTAAGCAAGAGCGTGGCAGTTGAATCACATGTAGTCTCAAGAAACTCAGTTATGCTCTGTTTCTTGCAAAATTTTCATATAAGATTTGACATTTCTCAGGTCGGAGGAACCACAATTCGAGTTAGGGGTGTGGCAAAAGGCTCCGGGATGATCCATCCAAGTATGGCAACCTCCTGAGACTGTGACCATGGCCAAGAGACAGGGTTTCATGTACTGTTGTTGTGTTATGATCTCAATTTGTAAACTTATTTTGCTTCATATTAAAGTTGACTTATCATACTTGATACAAATGCAAATGCACACAAAAACAAAAACAATTGTAATTTGTAGGTAATATAAATAAACTTTTTTAACGTATGTATGCCTTAATTTGTATTGATAAACTAAAAAATGTTGTACAAGTCAAAAGAAAGAAGAGGCATCTGGTGGATGGGTAATTTGTAACAGTATATATATATATATATTTTTTTTTGTCGTCTTTATAATATTTGAAACCCAACATGGGTAAAGCAGAGGTTACAAACTTTTCGCAGGCCCGTAACATATTAAACTAAAGCCCAAAGAAACTAACGTTACAAGCCCAAACACGTGTAAGGACACATGTAACCTAATAACAACATAACCAAGACACGTGTCATAAAACGAAAATGTTCGAAGCAGCGCCGTCTCTCCACCGTGTCACCGGCGAAGCTTGAATCTTCATCACCTCCACAAGCTGCATCATAGAACCACTGCTTGTGCCTTTTGCAATTGATCACCGTAGGAAAATGCCCAGATCTTCAACTTAGCCATCGGAGAAGAAATAAGGGAATCACTGAAAGATCAGAAGACAGAATATTTGTCAAAACACTTCGGAAGAAGCTTCGACGTTACTTACTCTGCTTTAGATCTACCAAAATTGATTCCAAAACTCGAGTCTTCAATCATTAAGAGAACCACCTCTCTGTAACGACTTAATAAATAACAGAGAAGCGTAAAATTACTCCCCCATGAAAAAGAACCAAGCATAAACGATAGTAAGAGATCTGAACAAAGCCTATGGAATAAAGTGAGACTCTTGCAAAAGATGAGAGAAAACAAAGCAAAAACAAAATTATCCGACAAAACGGAAAGAAAAATCCGACTAAGCGGAAACCGAAATCCGTCTAAACGGAAGATATAGACAAGAACAAAAGATCCGATCAAGTCGGAAATCGCCTCTCTCTCTCTGAAGGATACGTGAGAGAGAAGAGAGAGAGAGTTTATATAACAGTATATTTAAAAGTACATGTAAACATATAAAAGTAAAAAGATGGTAAAATGCATATTTATATAACCTTGTATGTAATTGTTAATTCTAATATCGTATATACCTTTTTTAAAAGAAAATCGCGATTATCTGTGCAAAATAATATGTTATTTTAAGATATTTTCCAAAAATCATTACGTGTTTTCAGGAAACATAACAATTTTTAATTTAATTTAATGATTTTGTCTTGCAATAATATTGTAACTGTGTAAGCAATCTAATTAAGTACACTTTGAGAGAAGCCCTAAGTCGGTTGAAACCTCCCCTATTTATAGCTTCGAAAGAAAGCTTTCTCACAAACTACTGCACGTTCCTTGGACATGGCCCCTCCGGCTCCGACAGACGACGCACGCACAGTCACGTGTATGCAAGAACAGATCCAGCAGTTGACAACGGCGGTGCAAGCTCTCGCTGTCCAGGCACAACAAGAACCCGATGATGAACACAATCCTTTCGCAGAACATGGCGGAAACCCTATCGTCATCATTGAACAAGGGCTCAAGTTTGAGCTTCCGGAATTTCATGGCGAACAATCGGCGGAAAAGCTCCTCGATTGGATGGCCACGGTCGAAGAGACTCTTGAGTTCAAGCGTGTACCTCTGGAGCGATGCGTTCCCATGATTGCGATAGGATTCCGCGGCAATGCCGCAGCTTGGTGGTCGCAACTAAAGGCCTCGCGGGCACGTTTGGGTAAACCTAGAATCTTGTCGTGGGATAAGTTGAAGAAAAAGATGCGTAAAACGTTCTTACCATTCAACTATGATCAGATGATGCTCCAACGCTTGCACGGGTTGAAGCAAGATAACCCAAACGGCCGCTTAGTAGAAACATATTATACCGAGTTTTTTTCCCTATTGACGCGTGTTGATCTGCAGGAGTCGGACCAACAGATTGTGGCCCGTTTTGTCGGCGGTTTGAGGCCAGTGATCCGACGCGATCTTAACTTGTTAAATCCTCTCACTCTTGCAGAAGCACATCAAAAGGCCCTCATCGTGGAAGATAAGACCACAGAAGCTTTTTGGAGGGAGGATGCTAAGAAGAAGGAAGATTTTTGGAGGGAGGAAGCTAAGAAGAAGGAAGATGTTTTGATGGATGTTTTGATGGTGTCATTGGCGGGGTACATTGGTTTTTTTGTTTCATTGATATTTCATTGGAGGAGATAGTACTTTCTTTTTTATATTTTATATATCATGGACTTTTAGTCTCTTTTTTTCGAGTCTAGCCGTCGCTTCCTTCTTGTTTTAGGTCGAGGTTTATGTGACTTTTGTTTCTTTCATTATTCAGAAATTATCAGTTAGGTTCTTGAATGGAAGTTATGGGGCAACATCGTTTAGTTCTCTTGTTGTTTCTGCTGCGCTGCTGCGTTTGCTAAAATTTAATTAGCATAAAAAGTGTTGAGAAATTATTTAATTAGCCGAAAAAGTATTACGTTACATGGATAATTATGTCTGTCTTTGTGGATTTTTTTTCAAAAAAAAGTCATAATCGGAAAATACCACATCCACACTTATAATTCCAGAAGTCTATATATATAGCCAATAGCAAAAACCGGTCAGTGATTTAGATCCAAATGTCAATGAATAAATTACTTATAGCACCATATACTATTATTATACCAGTCGGCAACAATTTAATTTTTTAACATCTAATTTTCACTACTTTCAGTTTCAGCCATTGAAATTAAAATAATTAACGATAATCTCTCCACGATCTCATTACTTTCAGTTTAGGGCTCACCCGATTGCTTGAGTTGCAAGTTTCTCCTCTACTAGCAGTTATATGAATGTTCGGATCAGTGGTTGGCTCGTTTTTTTTCCATAGGTATGTTTCTCGGTTGGTTCTCGCTTACGACTTGTACGGTTTTCTCAGGAAGTCCCGCTTCCTTGTGAAGCATATATGATATACCTTGGTCGTGGTATATCTTCAGCTCTGACTTCTTCTTGTTTCTCACGTTTCTTGATTTTTTCCGCCAAACTCACCTCACATCCCGAGTTTCCCGGTCGAAGAGACTCTTGAGTTCAAGCGTGTACCTCTAGAGCGATGCGTTCCCATGATTGCGATGGGGTTCCGGGGCAGAGCGGCAGCTTGGTGGTCGCAACTAAAGGCCTCGCGGGCACGTTTGGGTAAACCTAGAATCTTGTCGTGGGATAAGTTGAAGAAAAAGATGCATAAAACGTTCTTACCATTCAACTATGATCAGATGATGCTCCAACGCTTGTACGGGTTGCGACAAGATGGCCGATCAGTCGAAAAATATTATACCAAGTTTTTTTCCGCATTGACGCGTGTTGATCTGCAGGAGTCGGACCAACAGATTGTGGCCCGTTTTGTCGGCGGTTTGAGGCGAGGTATCCGACGCGATCTTAACTTGTTGAATCCTCTCACTCTTGCAGAAGCACATCAACAGGCCCTCATCGTGGAAGCTAAGAACACGGAAGCTTTTTGTAGGGAGAAAGCTAAGAAGAAGGAAGATTTTAGGAGGGATGTTTGGTTGGGGGGGACATTGACATACATTGTTGTTGTTGCTTTTGCACTATTTCGTTTCACATAGTACTTTCTTTTTTATATAGTCAGACAAGGCTTTACATTGTTGTTGTTGCTTTTACTCCTTTTTTTTTCCGAGTCTAGCCGTCGCTTTCCTTCTGGTTTTAGGTCGGTTTGGAGCTTTTGTTGCTAAAAGATTATATGTTTGCAGTAAACCTGCATATATTATATGTTTGCAAGTGTGTTTTAATTATGAAAATTATAAGTGTTTTTGTCCATTTAAAATCTACATGATATAATTTTCTTGTTTTGATTTAGCAATCAATATTCCTGTGTTATCTGAGGAGAACATCTGCCTAAAAGCTTTTATTCTCTTCCCCCCTAACAGGTGCCTTATGGTATTACACTCCATAGAGAGCGCAAACGTGCATTGTCCATGGTCCTGAAAGATGCTGAGGTTTTTCACTTTAATTTTGTCTAAACACGCAACCAAAAAACAAAAGATAGTTCTTTGCTTTCTCTCGTCTCACATAACTACAGGTTCTTGCTGAGGCTAAAAGAATCACAGAGATGCGTTTAGCTGCACGTGTAAGCGTTGACTTAAAAGCAATATGTCACTCATACTAACTAAATCACAGTACCCTTTTCAATCTCGGACGCATATCAGAACTCTAACCTCATCATCTTGTCTTTAACACTATTGTTCTTTCTGGCTGTCCAGCGTGCGGAAGAATGAGACTGATGTGTCTGCGAATGAGAATAATGGTCTTAGTAATGCTACACTAACAACGGCAGATTATGCCTCTGCCCTAGCTTCTCTGCGCATGCATGGCGAGTGTCTCTCTGTTCTTATCTTCCCTCTTTTATATGATTAATACTTCTTTCAAATATAATGCCATTTAAATTCACTACTACTCCCATATCTTTGGTGGTTTAATGATATGCGTGTGTACGTTTTAAGAATCTCTACATTTCAAACTTCATTTTTTATAATAATAAAGTTTTTTTATAAAAGAATTGTATGTATGATGTAAGTTTAAAATAATGTCATATGTAGTCTAATCTATTTACAAAACACTTATGCTGATTATCAAATATATACATTTCATAGTATTTCAGTTACCAATTTTTTAATTATAAATAGTTTTTGTAAAACCGTATTAAAACTCGATAGAGTTACAACTTTCTAATTCATTCTAAAAACCAATATCTATTTTTTTCTTTAATATTTCATAAATTAAAATAAATTTCTTGAATTTTTTATAAGCTCACTAAAATATTACATCAGGTCTATAACCACTCGTTAACCCATGTTTAAAGTTAGACCTATCCATTTGCCTTTCGATAATAGTTGTCTCACCAGTCATGTTACTTTTTTATTTGCGTAATGAAATGTTTTTGGAAGAACAAACTTTTTATTTAAGGACCATAGTAACTATGTTATTGCTTCACGAAAACATACTTTAAACTTATGTTCAAACAAAAAAAAAAAATACTTTAAAGTTTTAAACTCAAAACCAAATAAGAGGATGTGAAAACGAATCTTATATATCTCCTATATATTAAAAGAGAAGCATTTTTAAAGAGAAACCTTAAATTTGTAAAATATTACAATGGTGTTATTTTGCTGATGTGTCAACCTCATATTCATTCTCAGCTATTTTAAAAAAAAAGACTTAGATTACTAGACTAATTACATGATATACCATTGTATATTTTAGGTCCATAAATATGTTATATTTTATTTTTTAAAATGAATTCAAAGGCAATAATATTAGAATTAATAATTTAATAAAATAAAATTTATTTAATACTAAATATAATATACACGAAATTTATTATATAATATTTTTAAAATACTATCCATATATTTTTTATTATAAATTTATAATAAAATATATAATATTTTTTTAATATTTACTATTTTTATCATTCATAGTAAAATATATAATACTTATTTATGCTTACTACTTTAAAAAGATATTTTTATTGATTATTTATAAACCAAAATTCTTATAAAAACAACTGAAAAATTATAAAATAATATTTTATTTTTCTCAAATTCATAACAAATATATAACACTTTACTAATGTTTACTACTTTTATTAGAAAATATGTTTATTAATTATTTATAAAAAATATTTTTATAAATACGACATAATAATTAAAAATAATATTTTATTTTTCTCAAAAATATGTTTATTAATTGTTTACTAAAAATATTTTTATAAATATAACAGAATAATTAAAGATAATATTTTATTTTCTCAAAAATCAATCAGAACAAATAAAAGAAAATCATAATGATTTTATTCACATATTTTTATAATTATAGCATGCATGAAAATAACTGTAAAAACATATATAATATCTTTTAACAATTCATAATAATATATACAAAATATAAATTAAAAATATATGTTATTTTTATCACAAACATCAATTAAAAAGAAAATGATGAATTTTCAAAATTATTATGATATATATTATTTAATATTCAGATTTACTATATAAGGAAATATGATATATTGCATTCTGATTTAATTTATATATGATTCTTAGATGACAAATA